TAAATACTTCTTACTGACTGTGATGTGACGTAATTCGACATGCATACATCGCCATTAATGAGTATTACAGAACAAACTCAGTATCCACTGCCCACGATCCTGATTTATCGACATGCTACAATAATCGTGCCCTAACAATCTAAACATAAAGACTAATTGTGGAATAGACATACAAACAGACACTAAATCTACCTATATATATATATATATAAGACTCCACTCTCTCCACTCATATATATATATATATAGGCACTCGTGGCTCGTACGCCGTTTCTTGCGTGTGATGTCAATAACAGTGGTTATGATGACTACGTACTTTCAATGTCCAAAGGATGTATGTCCAATCCACATTACGCCTATGGCTTATGTTATATTCTCGATACTACATTACAATCATGGAATTGTGATATTATTAAATTATGCTTGTTTATAATGTATCGACACTTGGATGATATCGTTGCGTTGTACCAACGTCCGCATACAACATTCGGAAATGAAGTACGGACTCGACCGTACACCTAGTAAGAGTGTGCACAATACTTTCGACAGTTGAATTTCAGTTATACTGCAAAGAGTTTAAGTATAAGATTTTGGTCATCTATGGTCGCTTAGTATCGTGAAAACTCGTACTAGGTTTACTGATATGTGACACATACACTTGCAAATCAAATGGGATCCTGCAAACCCACACCTCTCGAACTTACTCGACATTGGGCGAATTAAAACTATAAACATGCATTAAACGACTAATTAAAATATGCTCCGAACTAACATTCTATATTTACGAAACTAACGATATATTTTATCTTTTTTTTTGTTATTTAAATACGTTTTAAAGTGTAAAAATAGTTCTTTGAGACAAAAATGTCAAAGCAATCCTTAACGTCATGCGCAGAAGAAAGATGCCCCTGGACAGAACTATACCAGAAAATGTTAATAATGCCCTACGAGCAATATAGATTAGACATTAGTAATATTGAAATATAAATAGACGCGTAAGATTTTTATAATCTTAATAGGAAGATGTCGCAAAATAAATACTAGTTTAACTGATTTGCAAATTAATTAATGGACGGCAAGTCTCTATGACAATGACTAAAATGTCTTTTTGAAAATATATTTATCGGTGAGTTTAAAGAATAGTATTTCGATATTAAAAGAAAAATTGCAATCTTCTAAAATACCTACGGACGAAGATAATAAGTACAATATTCCTCGACAAACTTATCATTAAAAAATTTAAAATATTAAAATAATTTATTAAAAAGAACATTTACAACCGCCATCTATAATTCAATCTCAAAATGATAAATCAATCTTTAATCATTGACAGATTTTTAAATATGGACGAGGTAGTCAAAATTAACTAAAATCAGTCAAACATAATGAGTCAAATTAGTGGACGTTAAATCAGAAAACACTGCGAAGTAACCCAGTTTCAGTCTTTGCGCTTGATACCAGTGCCACGAGTAAGTACGTGCACACATTTAGGTGTCTGTACAGCATTTTCCTTAAATCTTATAATGACTGAACAAGGTGTGGCGCGACAACATTGTACTTAGAAACTGCTCCAGAACTAAACGTACAACTGAATCTATTAAGACGTTAGTAATTTCATTTTATTATTAATTTAAATAAACCGGACAGTTGAAAGTCTTAGAGTAAAACATAATACTGTTTCACTATAAAACTTTTTTTCTTTTCAAAGCAAGTATGTGTTGTCGTTTTTTACCGCCTACCCTTCGTAAATAAAACGAAATCCTATTCCCTAAAAATCACTACGGCGAAAACTCAAAGTGCATTATTAACGAGTTGGTAACAGCAAGAATTTTGTGCTAAACTTTTAAAAAGAATACCAGACGATATTCATTACTTGTTTAATAATTTCACCGACACATGATTAATTTTGTGTGTGAGTAGACAGTAAAAAAATCATATAACTTAACTTTGATCCGACTGTTACGAACTTTAATTTATACTAACTAGCCATCTAAAAATTTACTATCTATGAATGCTGAAAACATCCACACTTGAATGAATGTACATAAACATCTAAAAGACATAGAACTAATACTACGCGAAGCTAAAGCTGGCAACAATTTCCATTCCAACGTCAGATTTCAATTTACCTACCATTTGAAACCATAATAGCATCGAATCTCGCGCACGCTCTCACTGCCTCAATATTGTTACCATTTACATTATGACTGATATTTTAAAATAACTCTCAATATTCCAGACAATTATCATACTCATTATATCAGTTACTAAGTGTCATTCAATATCACTTATATGATTGAGCAATTTAATCTAGCGTTTTATCCTTTGTTGATAGAGTTCGTATTTGAACATTACACTCAAGTTTACAATAAGTATATTAAATGTTACCACATGAATAACAACAATTGCTGAATTACAAACATCGAATAGTACAAGATATAATACACGTTTTTTTAATTCCTAAATTTCATATAAAATGATATTTCAGTATTGCTTTAGTGATGGAAGATATTATAGTTTTTTAAATTTAATATAAAATATATAATTTATCGTGTGCCTTATATATATTACGCACATGGTGTATATATATATGTAGACGTACAGACAATTAGGTTAACTTTAAACTCCATCTGGCCATGGAATATGAATTAAACGTCTTAAATATACGCGACTTGGACGAATAAGTTTAACTAGGTAGACATTTAAATATGAAACCAAAACGTCGATTACGCACATTCTATACTAGCGCAGCTGAAACCAGTTGACTTTCCAATATGAAGTCACTTATAATAAGGGTTAACGACCAAGTGGCATCTATTTATGTCGCAACATTCGATTGTTGCCAGCGCACGCTTCATACACATTATAATATATGTATAGTTATAATATTTCGAAGGCTATCAAGACGCTAACTTGCATTACAATATAATTACATAATATAAACGTGTAAATAAAGTACTATAGTTAATCGCACGACTACATTTCATCTCCGCGAGATATTATTACTTAAACATCCATGAATCTGCAAATTTCGACAAGAGAATATCAAAAATAGTGTATCGACGGTCATCGCCTACATTCTGTCTAATATTCTGTAGTCTAATGACGCTATTTTAGGTCACTTAAAACATCTTAAGCCAATCCTCATTATAATATGGACTATGGTTTGTCAATTTTGAAATATTCCACATTTTTATTTGAGGAACCATTTTGTGTCATAGCCAAAAGACGCTGCGATTTATAAATCGTCTGCAATGCAACTGTCTCACGATTATTTATTGATAACACACTTACTAATCAAATATATTGAAAGGGATGTAGCCGACTTATAATCAGCAGCAAACGATACACTTCCATAACCGAATGAAGTACAAAAGAGCGCAATTAATACCTAACCAAATCATTAAACATATTCGACTTTCACGTACAATATACGTACGTAATATGTATTCCGCAATTAAACGTATGGGTTTGACAAATGAGTAACGTATTATTAACTAAAAGCTTACAAAAGGACAGAGATCTTCATGACAAACAGCATAAGTGGACACCAACGCAAATATAGTAACTAAAGGAATTAATAGTGTATCCTGCAATACGTAAAACAAGGCCTGTTGTGATAGTGAAAAATGAACTTTAGCTGATACGGAATAACATCAGTATGGAAAAAAAAATCTTAGCAACATTTTCTTTGTGTTTAATGATGTGCCCACCGTAGCGTGTAGAATTAACTAAAACCATAAAAAATGCTAACCATAACTGAAACATAATCTGAAAAATTATATTAAAAGAAACTAAATAAAATATGTATACTGTTTCTGTTATCGATTAACATTCTTTGTTTCGTTGTCATTTAATATCAACTGCACACATAATACAGTCTGGGCCAGGCGCCTGTGCAACAGCTAATATTAAAATCGGACAAGAATCTTACATTATGCTATTCAAAGAAAAGAAAACTACAATGAGCTACAGTAATGAAGTCCACTGGGTCACCAAACACGGAACCTCAATACCACTGACTAGTTTAAGTGTGTCAAGAATATTCAAAATACACGAAAGAGACAAAAGAGTGGTTCAAAATTATTTGTGCAATGTAACAATTTTTTCAGAAGATTAAATACCATTGGATTCATCACATTGCACCGTAGAACTGAAGAAAAACGACTAAAATGTTGCTATACTCCTTTGATTTATTAAAATGATTCCATGTTAAAAACTCTGTGAATAACCGAATGTTCAGACTATCATAAAGCACAACCTTAAAATGAGCTTAAACTCGCCTCTTACATGAATCCAAACGATAACGATGAAAAATGACTTGTAATCGTCAAATATGTCAAAACTTCAATTAACCCAACATTATATTAAGAGAAAAAGAGATCTACCAGGAGTTAGCAACATTTTCTGATCATCGATACATACCAACGTGTTCTTAATTGAGATCGATTATCCTCATAATCGAGAAGTTTTTTACTAACAATAGTATCCTTCTCAAGTAAGTTTGATTTGTAATTTAAGTTTGGATATGCTGTTATGCTTGAGGCGCATACCCGTAGAACGTCCTAATACGAATACCTTAATATTTCTTGTTTGATATCAAGATACTATTAAACATCAACTCCGAGTATTAGCTTAAGCTTACAATATTATCTAAGTACAAGGAAGTAGTTTAATGTAACCCCTTAAAATATTCTTAAAACATTGTTTACCACTTTTTAATAGAAGTAGGTAAACTGGTGTGCATGTATATTTATCTGTATTCCTAGATAATATTTTTTGAGAGGATTATTTCCTATAAAAGGGACCCTGTGCAGGGTAATTTTTAAGTAAGTTCGCGTATGTCTGGGGATGTGGGAATACCTAAATTACAAATAACATAAGGTATAATACAGTTAAAGATGGTGAAGATGATATACAAGCCGAATTTTTGGCCATCGCCTGTGTTGTGACAGTTTGCGTGCGGAACAACGCGCTCTACAAACTATCGCTTGCCGACGTCATTTGCCGTTTGTCTGCAGCGCAGCGTTCAGTTGGGTCCACAGGTCCTTCTTGCACGACTTTGATCTGAAAATTATTTACAGCTATAAATACGACTCACTGAAGGAAGTTTTCATAATTTGAAGACGACTAAGAGTTTTCTACCTCTCTAACAATCAAAAAAGATATGTTTAAAAATCATCTTCACAAATATTCATTTCACATTGTGCAAATTAAAGTAATATATTATTTTCACGAAAATTACCTAACACCATCAAAACACCTTAATTAACGTGTTCCTAATATAATTACATATCTAACTAAAATAAACTATAATAAGTACCCTCAATGTAACAGGTAACATTATAATAGCAATAGCTCCTTCTAATCTGTTTGAAGTCGGTGCCAAGTCAAGTAGGTGCTTGATAAGCTTGGTAGAATGTAGCGCGGCAGCTGCAACAGTCTTCATGCTGCGCAAAACATGCTGGACGAGATAGTGGATTATGCACATCTCCAATGATATTATTATTTGAATGCTTTATTAAGTAGTTGATAAGTTTTCGCACGTAGTTAATCTAGTTGGTCTTTGTCTTTATTAATTAACAAAATCTGCGATGTTTGATTAGAATTTTATTGAATTCTTATTTTTTTATTGTGCTACTATAAAGCTAACATAGACCAGTATTACTTATTGTGCATCGGGCTTGGCACCCACTTCAAACACTGGAAGGCTAGAGGAAAGACTAGAAGGGACTATTGCTATTATAATGTTACCTGTTATATTGAGGGTACTTAATATAGTTTTTTCAGTTAGATTTGTAATATTTTTTTAATTTTTAGTGCTATTTCGAAGTGTTGTCTGAAGACGGTTCAACTATTTTAAAAAGGATTTATATTACCATTTTTAACAAAAATTTAATAATATAGAAAAAATAAAAATAAAATAAAAATATTACGTACCGTAATGTTTAGTACTAAAATGTAGTATGTTAGATTATATTAAATATAGTTTAATGAGTCCGTTACTTTATTTAGATAAGGTAGTAAGATGCAACATTTGTACCTGAAATATGTGGTCCATCTGTTGCTCTTTATATTCGCAGGTCTCTGTGTGATTGTTAATTTAATGAATTTCAAATTATTCTTTACATACCTGCGCAACGAGGCGAGCCATTCCTTGAACTGCGTGTTTCCCTCGGGCGTGAGCTGAAAGGCAGTGCGCGCTGATAACACGATGCTAACAAACTCTTCGTATTCTACCGATGTCAAGTGGTACAACTTCTGATGAATGCATTGAATGTACCTATCGAAGATAACAATATTAAATTATAATAGAATGTTTACAAACTCTAATCGAAACATCCACAGAGAGATTTTAATGTCCTCAAAATTTTTATATACAAATAAGTAGGTACATACCATGACTGATTTGCACACAAGAGTAATATATCTCACACATTTAATATATATTACACACGGCCGTCTGATCCTAAACTAGACAGAGCCTGTACTATGGTAACCAAACTGCTGATAAACATTCTTAAATATATTTTTAGGTACATACATATTATAGATAAATTACACCTAGACACAGAACAAATGACCATGCTCATCACACAATATTAGTCCTGGGTGGGAATCGAACCCACGACCTCCGGCTTAGCAGTTAGGTTCACTAACCACTAGACCAACAGGCATGGCAACCAAAAAAAAATACAGTTCTTAGGAAAAAAATATATTTTAAATACAGTTTGAATTTTACTATCAGTGCAACGGCACGGGAGGTACTCACATCTGCTGGCACTTCTGCACGAGCGGCGCGAGCGTGCCGCGCAGGTGCTGCATGACGAGGTGGTGCGGGCCGCCGCGCGCCAGCCAGTGCGCCGACTCCACGCACAGCTCGTACAGCACGAAGGGCGACACCACCGAGTTCACCGCGCACACGCAGAACTGGTGCAGGTACTGCGCGCCGAGGCGCTTCGATATTCGCAGGAGCCACTTCACGTGTTCGCCGTATGGCGGGTTTCTACAACATTGTAGAGTAAGCGTAAGCCTTATATTTTCTATATTTTTCAATATTATCAAACGTGTTATGACAATAATAAATTGTGAAACAAATGGAAACGATAACGAAACGGACTCACCTGCCGAATTTGTTCTGGGGGCGATCATCGTGTACTCTTCTCGCTTGTGTTTCGAGCGCTAACATCCCGACCCGGTAGGCCGCCAGTAGTCTTCGATTGACGTTCACGTTAGGGGCGACCGCCTGCCCGTTAGTTTGAACGCCGTTACTTGTGCCCGCGACGTTGCCGATACCGTTCACGTTGCCGACGTTGACGCCTACCGCGTTGACGTTTAAGGATCCAACGTTAACACCTCCACAGTTCACTCCGCTGACGCCTATGCCGGCGACGCCTACACCGGCCACACTCACACCGGCTACGCCGACCCCGGCCACTCCGACGTTTAGTCCCGCCACGTTTACGCCGGCGACGTTTACACCTGCTACACCAGCGTGGGACGGCATCGGAGGAGGGATCGGAGCGGGATGCTACATTAAGCATAGAAAAATTCATATTAACAGGTGAGAAAAATATTTTTTAAGATACACGGTTAGTATGAATATTCAGTTTTATCGTCTATGCCTACTCCATGAGAGAATGGCATGAGACATGAGTGTAAAATATGTATATATGTATGTGGTTACTCGATGAACTCAAAAGAATTATAGAAATAATAAAGTCCATTGTTTTAATTTAATATTTTAATATTTTAATTTAAATACGAATTACCTATTATTAATTTATTATTCGTTGCTTTTCACCGAGTGACCGAGATCACCGTAGCCAAACCCTATTCCTGGGGTTGTGGGGGCTGAAAGGGCGGCAACGCACGTATCCATGGGCGGTGGCAGTCACTTACTATCAGGTGACGCGTCTGCTCGTTTGCCCCCTATGCCTTATAAAAAAACATGACTTACCACAGAATGCACAGTAGCATTAACATTAACGTTGACATTGACAGGGATGGCCTGAGCGTGCGCTACCATCGGCTGCGAGTGTTGAGGGTGGGGCACGTGCTGTTGCGACAGCGCGGGGTGCTGAGCGTGCGTAGGGTGCGGCGCGTGTTGGGGGTGAGGCGCGTGCGCGGCGTGCACCTGCGGCGCGTGCTGCGCCTGCGCGGGCGGCGGCGCCACGATGCCGCGCACGAAGTAGGGCGGCAGGGCGTACTGCGGGCCCGGGTGCGCTGCGGCCGTAGACCCATACTGGAATTACAATAACCCTTTGGATTTATCTTGTCAGGCGACATTTTCACTTCGAAGTTGAAGCATGCATGGTACGCATAAATCAATTTTAGAGATTTTATTTAATAATCTAGAAAATTGTGCAACTAAACGAAATAAGTATCACACCAAAAAGTATGCTAATAACTATTTAGCATAAATTTTCCACACAGAAATGAATATTCTCCTTTTTTGTACCTTTTTGGATCGATTGATATACAAACGTAGTGTGGCTCAGAAAGTGAGGAGTATTTACTCAAATAATTATGCTAAATAGTTTTGACGCACTTAGTACGAATCTCCATAGATTCGTACTAAGTGCGTCAAAACTAATTTACGCGTCAAGAGTCTAGTTTTTGTTTAACTTTTCACTGCCATCATGATTTGGTCGATGTTTAACTGCATTTTCAAAGTGTTCAAAACTATTTAGGCACTATTTAAAACTATACTATACGACACAAGAGGCACTATCTACACTGTCCATGGTTGTTACAGACGTAATCAATCTTCGTCTTATCTAAGGAATCGATCAGAACTAGTACAGTTAAAAGGGTTTTAATTCTAAAGAATGCTTTATAACGTTGAGAGTGCCTCAGGGATCGCACCTGGGTCCTTTGTTGTTTCTAGTCTATGTATTGTTCTTATATAAGTTAATTCAAGGTCAAATTGACTCTCCCGAGCTTTTAAGACTGGTCAATATTTGCATTCCTCACGTTGCTAGTCGTTTAGTCAACCGAACGACGTTTGCTGCCTCACTACCGCACCAACATAGGTTGCTGGTTCTGTGGCTTCAGTCAGGTCCAAACTTAGAGATTTCTACAAGTAAAGCAATATGGTACGGGGTATGGACATTCTCCTTCAACAGTTTATAAGCATACTAAGAAAAAATAAAATGGACAGAATCATTAACTATAAATGACATAGCTTACAAGTTAAGCCACAACACAAACGTTTATACAGTAATTGGACTAAATACTTACCGGTAGCTGATAAATAGCAGGTGGGTAGGGATGATAAGTAAACGAGTACGGTATCGGGTACGGTACGGGCACTGCTAGCGGCGGTGGCGCCGCGCGGTACTGAGGCTCGTCCATACTTGGCGGAGGCTCGGGCTCCTCATTGGTTTGACGTTGGTATAGTTCGTGCCAATAGCGAGCAACGGTGTACAACACTTCGGGGTATACGCCGCCACCTGTTAACAACAAATATATTTTTTTTTTGTACAGCTGTTTTCAAAAATAAAGTGGGTTTTTACGATGTAATGATGTATATCGTCTTTATGAGCGGCATCTGCTGTCTTTCTACGCCGGTATCAATAGTCGTACAGAGTTTATTTCCCATCCATCGTGCGGGTGATTCACTAAAAAAACATAAAAATCAATACCGACGATGATCACTGCATATTTGGTGATAAACATGACAATGAACGTCAAACAAATCGTTTGTTTTTTGGTCTGTTTTAGTATAGAATCTGGCTACTCAGTAAATAAAAGATATATTGAAGCACAGTAATTCAAACAGAAGGCCAATTCTCGTTAATAAAAGTTCGGTCTCAATTGAGTTCCGATCAACTTTCGGTCTCACAACTGTCATAAAAGGTATTTTCTTAATGAAATAGTAAAGTATTACTAAAACTAGCAGATTACCGATTCAATTTTCAGTTACAATATAATAATGTTACAGTCAACGCTGAACGTGTAATACTTTACTAAATCGAGACCGAACTTTTATTACGAGAATCGGGCTTTAGGTATCGATCGAGGAACGGTTACCTTTAGCGGCCGCTTCGACAGTGAGACAGGCGCGCTCGAGCATGGCGTCGCTCTGCTCCTTGCACTGCAGCACGGCGCGCTGGATCTCGTTGTAGTTGAGCGCGTGCGCGTGCGGCAGCACGGACAGCGCCAGCTCGGCCGCCGCGCGCACCGTGGGCACGTCGCGCCCCGACGACGCCTGACGAGTCGGAAGGTTTTACTTTATAGCTTCAACTCTTTCGGACCGTAGCCGTAGATTAGTTTAATTTTTCATAGTGATTCTAATATTTATCTCTTTTTACATGTCGATTTCTTACATTAATCTGAATAACTAGCTCAAATTACTACCATATTTTGTTTATCGTATATAACGAACCGTCACGTACCTTATCTGCGATGCTCGCAGCTTCCGGTGGAGTCAAATGCCCTTCCCATGCGTCTATGAGGAATAGTATAGCGGGCGCGCCGATATCCATAGCCTGACCTACAAATGTATAAAAATATAATTGAAACTTATTCTATATTGACCGACACACTACTTGCACTAAAAATTAAGTATGCGTTTTGAAATATCGTTCAGTTATTTGGTAGTATTAATATTTTGTTGTATATTATGATATTATTTTTATATTCTATAAACTACGCAAGACCAGAGCACTGCGAAGAAAAGGAGATTCGACACAGACCCTATACCAACCCAGCGTGGTATAGTAAGCCAAGACCTCCATACTAAGGAGAAGCTATTGTCCAGCAGTTGACTATTAAAGGCTGTTGATGTGATGATTATAGTATTATTAAAACATTATTCTCAATCAAGCCAAGTATGTCTACCATATAAAAATGTAGAAATAATTAGATTCGGCAAACATATATTACTATTGAAATTTAGAAGAAGGTTCTATGAAATTTACCTGTTATCCAACTGACATGTGATGAGTAAGTGCGACTGAGCCAATTTGCGCTCACGCAATTATGTAAGCCGAGAGCGTAGAGACCCAGCTGAAATGCAGCCATGTGTAATCCCCTGGAAGCATCATGTAATGTAGGTTTGGTATATAACAGAAAATCGCAACAACGGACACCATTTTGTGTGGTATGAGCAATATTTTAGTTCCATTTTATTGTAAACAGTTTTTTATTTTAATCATGTTTTCGATTACATAGAAAGCATTTTGCTTTCATAAATTCATGCAGTTGAGTATGATTTATTTTATTTACTTTGCGTATTTATTATATTAAATACCGGATACGCCCCGCAGTGTTACCCGCGGTTGTTGTTGTACCTTGCATCCCAAGAGAACACTACATTTTTTCGGCATAAAAAGTAGCATATGTGCTTTTTAGACCATAATCTATCTCTGTGCCAAATTTCATCCAGATCCGATCAGGCAATTTTACGTGAAAGAGTGCCACACATCTATACAAACTTTCGCCTTTATAATAATAGTACTATTTTTCTCAATGATTTCGTTAGTTACTGCATTTTTTTCTACAACTACTAGCAATGAGGATCACATATTACTAGGTGGCTAGTACCAGACGGCTCTGTCTCGATCGCTACTTGTCTTCAATAGCTTACCTGTGCGGTCCGTGATGTTCCCTAGCACACGAAGGCTGTGTAAACAGACTAGTACTTGAAGACCCTCCCGCTTTAAATAGAACAGATTTTGCCAGTTCAAACATGAAATGTGCTGATGCTTCTGATGGCTGGTTAGGTACCGAAGGGTACATACGTTTGCCCTTATATCTGAAATGAATTGGAACATTTTAAATCTGATAAAGATCTAAGAAATTATACTTATTTCTAATGTTAAGGTAAATTACGTAGTATTACAGTATTAAGATGCTGATAGACTTGAGCATTCTTTTGTAACGAGAATTAAAGCTCAGCCAGCGAAACGACAATAAATTTGCTTAGAGCTTTATGCCGAGGCGATTAATTTAGTCACTGATGCGCGGCCATCAATTTCCCTCCAAACATGCCGAACGTCTGTCATGAAAACGTTCATAGCGATGGTTGGCTCTATGCTTCGCTCTGTGCGTTGTTCAGTTCGACCAATTTAAAAACTGCGAATGCTCGATATTCCGTTGCAAGTGCATTTATGTCAGCACCTATAGAATAAAATATCCTCGAACTGTGAAAACATTATAACAGAACGTACCCAAAAGTTTATTATTTGTTATTTTTGTAATTATATTTTTTTAACTTATTAAATCAAGTTTTTCAACAAATCTAAAATTGCACTGCCTAAGTCATTACTAAAACATGTTACACATTATAGCTGCGCATTTAATAGAAGCCTATATAGTCATACAAATAATTAAAGGAAACTAACCTAGAATCCTTCGGTCTTACAATAGGCGGGTGTGACGTAGACGCGTGCGGTGCTTGATGCGAAGCGTGTTGTGAATGTGACGGCGCCGTATGTTGGACGTGTGTCGTTTGCTGGACATGAGATGTCGCATGTTGAGAATGTTGAGCAAGTTGCGACACGTGCTGTGAATGTTGCGTGTGTTGCATTTGTTGCACATGTTGACCGTGTTGGACATGTTGAACGTGTTGTGTGTGTTGGACGTGTTGAGTGTGTTGAACGTGTTGTGTATGTTGGACATGTTGCGCGAGTTGCACATGTTGCACGTGTTGAGAATGTTGCTGGTGTGGCATGTGCGTGGGTGGGGAAACTCCAGGTTCCGTTATCACCAGACGCTCCATTTCGATACGAGGACATGCGACCGGCTGCAATGGAAATAATTTTAGTAAGTTCAAATACTATACTATGAGAGATTATCGTATTAGATTATCTAATTCTTCTAAATTGGTAGGTTACGCTGTAGTTACTCAGCAGAAATTAGCTTACTACTACAGATATTGCATTTCGATAATCTATACATTTACATTAAAAATGAGAATATATTCTATCTACTTTAAAATTATACATTAGTGTAATGTTATTTTACATATAAAATTATACCTGAGGTGGTAAATTAATGTTGGGGATAGGATGTATATGTGGATGCGGGTGGCAGACAGGATGCGAGACATCAGCGCGGTAGGCCGCCAGGCGCGGGTTGTTCATGTAGTAAAGCGACACCATCGGGCTCTTCGTGAGCTGGTGAATGTCGCGGTCCAGCAGCTAAACAAAAATAACGTATGTCATACGGGTAAATTACCATTGATCAGTGTATATTAAGCAAAAATAATCGTTTTTACTTAATATACCTATATAATTTATACTTAATAATATATATAATTTATACTTAATAATATATATAATTTATACTTAGTAAACCACAGACGTAGTTACCCCATATAAATAAGCAATTGTAACTTTTAGATTTAAAACTGAAATCCTGAATATCACCATATATTTATTGAAAATAGGAATTCCTCTCGCCAATTCCATGATTCTAGTAAATGAAAAATTTTATATAAGTTCTGTTTTGAGCTTCCGTAAGGAACCACAGACAAAATTCACAGTTCTTTAGAGCCACCCTACACCCAACCAACACCGCCTCGCCTCGCGCGTTTTGTATTCTTTGTATAGAGTACTATCATGGGCAAACACTTCGCCCGCGGTTTGTCCACGCGCGGACGGCGACTCGGTGACGTTTTCTGGTTAACAACGCAGCGGCCACCTGGGTACCACCCGTCGACACGAATGGACACACGAGTCGAGGTTGTGCTGGTCGGGTGTCAGGTAGGTGTAATGAGCTATGGCCTTAAGTATGTAATGATAATGCCAACTTAACAGCTCTACAATTTTCTGAGCATAAGATCCTAACATACGATCAGACAAAGGGACAACGAAGTAATCTTATAAAGGTTTCTTTTTTCTTTTAGTAGTAGTCTAGTTTCTTAAAACAGACGTTAAGGATTTTCACAAACTTACTTTATTCATAATTCTAGCCAGTTTAACTGGATCATCCTTGTAGAAGGATAGCAACGTCAGCGACAGTTCGCCGCGTTGTCGCCTCGTTCCCTCGCACAGCAGTGGGTGCTCCGCCTCGGCCACATTCGCTTTCAAACCTAAAGCCGCCACGGCCGCTTCAAAACCTAACGTTTCATCGTTCGGTGATCGTGCCTGTGTAAATTTAAACATTTTAATTACTGTGATCAGACTTCGCAATGCAAAGGGGTGTCTCCGATCCAGTTACTCCGATTACATTATAAACTTAAGTTTATCTCCCAGGTTATACAGAAATATTAACAGATTGCAGTACGAAATACGATTAATTTACCATCTACTGTTTAACGATTACTGGAAAATATTTCTTATTCATGGATTGCATCACATTTCATTTGTAAGTAATTTTATACTTAATTTATTAAAATAGTTATAGAAAATTCTCTTAGTGTTTTTTTTAAATATAGTTACATCTATTCGACACTAGATGACTAAACTTTGTGTAATGGAAACTAAAAAATACAAAGGTACATAGAGCTTTAGTAAAATAATACTGAAATTTGTTCTGCATTCAGTCCAGAATTTTTAATAGCCAAAATAATATATATATTTTTTTTGTAATCATTTTGTGAACAGGCTATCGTCAACTAAAAAAGGTACATAAACAAAACAAAAATACGACCGAAATTGGAACCCAATTTTAATTTAATATAGTACTTTTAATATGAAAATGAAGGAAATTGTACTTAGGCTACTTAGGCTGATTTTTACAAAATGTTTAAATTATAAGCGACATTCTAATTTAAAAAAAAACTTTAAAAAAAAATTGAATATGTTTTGATGATGATGTTTAGTACTTCGTAAAAGTCAACCTAAGAAATGGTCATTTATGAGTTATACTTCATAAAATAAAGTCTCCTTGAAAGTAAATACTATGTACGATATTCAGAGTAGATTTTTACCGCAAGACATCTATTATGATATCACAGACATCTGTTTTTCGAAAATCGAAAATTCAAGTCAAGTCGAAAATTCTGAGTACGTCCCTTACATCCTACACTGAGTGAGATAGGTAAACTAAATAGCAACATCGATATAAAATGATGCGAATAGTTTTGCTATTATTTGGTAGATGAAAAAAGTGAAGTGGGCGAAGCTTAAAACCCCCTCATCCCGCAAAATTGTCACGAGTTGTTTAATAGGGAAATCTAATTACCACACCTCTTTGTATTTGCTCCGTGGATTATTACGACCGAATGGCAAGGTCCGGGTCAAATTCCTTTTTAAAACAATTAAGTAACATACCGCCTATAACATCATCATCGAATACAGCGACATATCGTATAAAACGACGAAACTATTGATATTTATCGGCTATAATGACTAACCGTTTTACTTGTTCCAGTAAAACAAAACAATACAAACAATTTTCAAACTTATTCTAATCTATGAAGGAATATTTTGAATTATTATGACCAGGAACATTCTTCCACCGCATCTTAACCTCTTACGCGCTCTTTGTCATTTGACCTTCCATTGTTACGACTTACAATTTAGTGCGATAGTTTGACAGTGTGAAGAAATTATTTGAAAATGAATGCTGATCAAGCAATCTCGAATGAAACGCAAAACGCAATAAACAACCAATACACGTGTAAAACTCAGCTAAATGTAGTGTATAAGCTGTACTGTAGGTACTGCAAGTGTTTTCGGAATAAACATTATTTTATTATTTCTTTTTTCGACATATTTTTGAAAACAGGTTCATAAGCATAACCTAAACCCATACCACATACATATTTAACAAATTCTAAACATTCATGACAATCTAATATCTCTACTTGTGTATATTGTGAGCACGATGATTTGTTCTGTGTGTGAGTGTAATTTATCTATGATATGTATGAATTTAGAAATATATAAGTATGTTTATCAGCAGTATGGTTACTATAGCACAGACACTTTTTTTTAAATGGGACTAATCCCACCCACACGCCCACTACTGTAACTCCTGTACACCAGGATCCACAGCAGCGACCCACAAACACACCGAGTTATGACACTCGGGAAGTCCCAGGAAGAAATTAAACTGTCTTGGAACCCGCAACGAAATTAATCAGAAGAAAATTGGAGGAGTTGGAAATACAGTAACCGTGTGTGACATGTGTTATGTTATTATTATATTATATTGCTTATAACGACTATCGGACCGCGTCCCAAATTATATGGTCCCTTCAATGTCGTTATATCCGGTTTCTACTGTATAAATAAGAGGTAAGCTTTTATAGTGTTCTAGTACTATGGAAATATCCAAATTTGATGTATTTTACTGTACAAATTTTAAACACGAAATATTTTTTATCATTTATTTAGACCTTCTTCTATTTCAAATTTCAAAGTGTAGAGTAATTATACGTTATCAGCAATAAAAGTAAAGGAAATACTTACCGAGTCCTTATTTTCTTTATCCGTCGCCGACAAAACGAGAACATCGAATAGAAAGCTCGCTAAAGCGATAGGTAGAAGAGCGGGTCCACGGGTCCTAGAAAATATCCTTTCGGTTAAAAAAGGTAGATTTAAGTAAATTCAAATTGATTTACACAGTTTGGTGGAAATGCAACTGATACGAGGGCTGCTATTTATGTATCCGGAACTGGCCAGTTACAGAATAATATTAAAAAAGTAATATAAAATTTAAAAATGGAACTCTTTGGCTGAAGAATATAATTTGTTTATGTAGCTGTCATTTGTTTATCCTTTGTGGCGTCATTTTGAAAATTGCGTGTCTTTATCACTATGGATTTAATTCGTGAAAATTTTCGTGCTATGATTTATTACGATTTTCGGCGAGGGTTAACTCAAAAACAGTGCATCGATAAACCCACTTCGACTTTTGGTTTAGTGAGTCTAATAATCACTGGTTTAGTGAGTCTAATCGAGGGCGGTCTGTGCTCACAAACGAATTTAAAGAAGGTCGCACTAAATCTGTTGTTGTAACTCAAAATATTGATCATCAATTCATCAACATTGATGTGACGGTCATCGGTTCAGGGCCTCAATACCAATACTACCTAGCAATGAAATCGTTTCACACTTATAATTAATATTACCGATCTCATTTTATATACCTTAATGTGCCGTCCCGTAACTGCTCTGCTTTTTCACGCGCCAAAGCCAACTGTTCGGCGCCGGTGGGCAGCTTCTTCAATAGTGCCACTAGTTCAGTTTCTTGATTGTTCAGTTTCACTTCTAGAGCCTTGGTACTGGCCGGAGGGCGCGCCATTTCGAGCGCGAACAGGCCTACGCGGAAAGCTAGTTCATGGTGCTCGCTGAATTCCCCCAGGACCTAGTGGAACGGGAAACATAAAGTCAGCACAAGCAATAAGAGTGGGGGTAGGCACGATAGTCGGGCGTACTCACGGTGGCGAGGAAGGCGCACTTGGCGAGCGTGGCGGAGGCGAGGCACGACAGGCGGTGGCTGGCGGCGCACAGACGCGGGCTGGGCGCGTGGCGCCGGCGCGGCTTGCGCGGGTCGGGCGGCGGCGGCGGCGCGGGCGCCGACAGCACGGGCGGCCGCGCCAGCAGCTCGCGTGCCAACAGCGCGCCTAACGCACACGCCTCGCGCGCGTGACCGTGCGCGTGCAGACCCTCGGCGCGCGCGAACGAGCCCTCCCAGCCGCAGGCCCAGCCGCTGCTACTGCAGCTGCTCGACGATACCACCTGTGCACACGCAACCGAATATCGAATAACTGTGGCTTCGATAGAGTTCGATATCGATTCGGATATCCTTGGAGGATTTTTTCTGAATGGAGAGTTTAACGTTTCAATAATTACCATGTGAAAGTGTTTTATGTGAAAAATTAGTTACGATGAAATAATAACGAGTGCGAACGGATATACTATTTACTGACAGCGGTTGCGCCGGATCCGGAGGCTTCGTCGGCTACGCGTCTAGCGGCGGCTGCATCGTAGAAATACAAGTTGCACTCGTCGTCCGACACCGACTCGTCGTTGGAGATGCGACGTTGAGCATCGTCCGACGACACAGGAGGAGAACTTGATTCTTGAGAATCGGTCTCCCCACCACTCTGTTGAAGAATTTCTTCCTCGTTCTCGCAGAACCCTTTACAAAAGAGAATAATAACGATGTTGCAAGTATTCCTTACGTAACTTTGAGTTTCCCAAAAAAGTTGCAAACAAGAAATTACAAAAAATTAAGTTCTCTATAATACTTCCTCTAATCACCAATTGTATACTAACTAACTCCCCATAAGTGGCTTATGACATATTAAAATAGTTTAAAATTTAAATTAAATTCAACTTGATACAGATCGATCGAGTCTTGACGCGTACATGGATCACTAAATGATCCTACCAGGATACATTTTTCAAATTTACTTCTATATATTTAATAATATTTCTAAAAAAGTTACTTAAATCATACCTTCAGACGATACACTTGAGTGATTCCCATCGCTAGGTCCGGAATCACGTTGCGCTTCACTCGACACTACTTCAACTCCGCAAGGCTAAAAACCAAAAACATTTATCTAAACTTGATTGTTATCAAGCAGTCATACATTTTGTTGGATGGGTATCAGAGGTTTTAAAAAGATTTTAATTTTGTACAGTCACCATCAAAAAGATGTCTACGTGAACATTTATGTGTACATCCATTTTGAAAAAATATTGTAATCAGTTAGTGACAAATCATATTATTCATAGTAATTTACAAAATTTAAGTGTAAAGAGGTTCAAAACTTTGTAAACGAGTTGTAATCGAAGTAAGGTGAGCAGAGAACTTTTCTGAAATTCTGATGCTGTTGGACATCTTCAAAGGATGGGAACTGGTAACCTCTTGTTTGGCATTGATAGAAACCAAAAATCACTTCAGATTCTTGGTTATTACTAAGTCACTAAGATATTTCTTGTAATCGTCGCTTTAGCAGAGCATTTCTTACTTGGCAACTTTAATTTGAGCGTTTTTTTTTTGTCACTCAAAGGTTTTACTACATTTTTCTGGAACCAGCTTTTTACGATATTCCTAAATTCTATCTATTTCCTAAAGTACCAAGATGACGGCAATAGAGCGAGGCCTTCGGGATGTAGAGCTGAGTGTATGTTTGTATGTAGTTTGTATTCCTGTAACTATGAAGAGCAGGTTCTCTTAGAAGAGAATCAATCTAAAGCTAACCTGGTGGAGAATTACGACGCAGTCGCACATGAGACATGCCTATCACAGTCACTGTCCATCAGGTAAGAAGGAAGACAAATACCAAATTTTTCAAATTTTCTATAATAAAAAAAGCATCGAGTGTAAAAATTGTTTGACTTTTTACCTGACTTGATGGCCCAGGAATAGCTAGATCTATGGTTATCTGATTCCTATGGACTGTTGTGCGATGAATACTCGGCTCAGGATTCATTAGCCGATAGCTTAGTGACATCTCATTGTTCAGTACGGCTTTAGATGAATTTACCTAAAATGGAAACATTATCTTAAAATACCTACATAAGTAATTTATATGGTATTCGTTTACTATTTACAATAAGCACTCTCGTTGTTGCCTCAGAGCTCTGGTGAAAATGCATCAGAAACAAAAATTGACGAGTAATGTTGTGACTTGCAAGGTCAGGTAAAATTTATAACATGAAAATTTGAAAATAAGACTTTTATTTAATTTCAGTCTAGAATATCTAAATATCTCCAACCTATAGAATGCACATATAAGTTTATAAGTTGTTTTTCTGTTGCATCTCCAAGGCTCCATACAGATAATTTATGGCATTTTGTCAGTTAACTAGCTGATACTAAAACTATTTATAAACACCAAATGAGTTAACTTTCAATCCTAGTTAAATATAATTGAACAGTAAATAAAAATAGGTATTCCAACAAAAACATTTACAAACCTGATGTACACTATCATTTTGCTTTTCAGTATGCCGGAAGATGGTAAAAGGGCTGTGGTATAGTGGGTTCAAGTCCTTTGTATAAGTCACTCCGGGAATCTGGTAGTCATCCCATTCTAGAAAACAAGCCTCCATTGCTGGATGAAAACCGGGAAATACTTCGTTCTCACTTATCCCATTGATATACGGCGAGTGCGAATGAGAACGAGATGAGTGCCGAGTGTGTGATGAGCTGCTCATATGATTGTTTCGGTTTTTGGCCACCTGTTCCAAATCAAATAACAACACGTATTGGTTTGGACTACCATGGACATTTTCACTTGATAAGATATTATCAACGGGATTTTTAACATGTTTATTTTCGGGAATTAGTTTTCGATATTTCGGCACTATTGCAACAGAAACACAAACATGGTAAATAATCAGTTTATAATAACTTATCAAACAATTACATATAATAATAGTAAAGTATTATTCTTTAATTAATGAATATTAACATTTAATTGAAAATTACATGATAATTATGGTAATTTATTACAAGTGTGTCATGGTTGAGATATGTTCTAATGTTGTTGTTGTATTCAAAACCTGAATGACACTTTTGTATAAATACCTACGTCATGAACCTGCTTTAGGCTCAGCATATTCCAAAACTTATCATGCAAAATGTGTTATTCTTCTTGAACTTTTCGGTTTTAAAATTAAAATAAGAAACATTATAAAACATAATAGTGGCTATTACAACACATACTTTGCTATTCTGTACTACAATGAAAGGTGTAAATTCTTTTCATATATCTATAAATCTCCACTTTGTATAAGTAGTATTAAGTACCACTATGTAAAAAAGTCTGCACTTGATACAGAATTAATGGCTATTTAAAATGTAATACATGTATTTGATATACTTGCCTTATCCAGTACTTTGGTGTGCCATTGTGCGAATTGTTCGTGTAGCGTATCACGTTCATGCGGCGCTAACGCCGGGTTCAAGGCAGCTAGACGCCACAACACAACCACCTAAAGAAACAGTGTGTTTAGTACCTACTTAGCATACCTATTAGTAAAATTTGAAACTAACAATTTCTATTTATCTATCTATACATCTATCCTCCTATTATTATCCTCCTATTATCTATCCTCTTTTGAAAAATACGCAATCCACCAATAACGCAGAGAATATGACATACTTAATAGGGAATGTGCACGTCACTCTAAAATGGACAAAATATTTTTTTTTGTAAACTATTGCTAAAAAACATACCCATAAAATTATTTTTGAAATTCATCATATTTTAATGGTGAAATTTTATCATCAGTGTTCTTTTTTAAATTTCCTAGCAAATTACAAAAATGCAAAGCTATTGGTGGAACAAAACGTGACGTCATTTTACACTCGACGTCTTCTGTCAACAAGTTCTTTGTATGGTTTCTGGTGATTATTAATAAGTTACAATATGTTTTCATTCATAGGCAAGACTCTTAGGCGCGGGGTTTTCTGACACGCGACCGACGACCGACGCGTGTCCGCCGCTAGCGTACGAATGATATGTACGGAAATGCTTAGCGGTGGGTTCTTAGAAACCGTCGCTAAGCACTAGAAGCTGTCACCGGCAGAGGACAGTGCGACGCCGTCGTCGACACGACGGTCGCGTGTCAGAGAACCCTGCGCCTTATGGATTATGACCTATGTATTAGATATTGAGAATATCTTTACGAACTTTTCGTAAACCGGTTATGCTTTCGTCGAGATTTAAAAAAAAAAGTATGTGTAGGTAACTAAGTAAAAATGATCTTTATGACTACCTGCATTTTTCGTCATAAGGAAATACACTTTGTCAGGTTCAGATTTTGGCACGTAGGAACGACACAGTAATTATTATAAGATTTTCTTTGATTTTAACACTCACTCACTTATACAAACAGACACAAAGTAGTGATTAAAAAATACGGCTAGTCATTGGCAAGGACACAGACATAATGGTAATTTGATATCTCGTTGATAGTTTTTAAATCATTAAGTAGTAGTTTTGACGTAATAAAATCCTGCTTCAATCCATAATAATTAAATAACCAATAGAGAGATAAGATAATCCCTATACAATTACTTGAAATATTTTCCATTACCGTGTTTCAAGACCATAAGCATGCTTAAGGTCTTGAAACTTTGTAAAATAAGTTTCTAGTGTTATGGAGAAAAATGAAAGGCTACATACCTCATCACAGAGCGATGAGCAAGCGTGTTGTGCAGATGAGTTACCGCCGCCACCTCCGTGTTTACCGCCGCCGCCGCCGCCTCCGCCCCAAGCGACTAAAGCCGCCTTCGTGGTGTACCACCACACAATTATCTGCACATATAGACTAATTTAGTGATAGTGTATATTGCAAAATTATTAGGATTGATTTGCAAATTTTATAACAATTAAACTGAATAGAAATAAAATGTAAAGTTTCTAAAAATGTCTTTAGTTTTTTAAGTTATACTGATATTTAACTAAGTACATACTAAACTTTCACATGAATTACAAGTTAAAATAGTGTGAAAGATAGCCTAAACTTATTTCAACAGCTTTGTAATAACACTAAACACAAAATATACAATATTTTTACAAGAGGTACTAAAATTTGAGAAAATTGTGAAGCTGTAGAAAAATGGTATGTTTCTAGTTTGATTTTATTATGACATTGCTTTTTTTCATGTAAATTTCTATTAATACCACAAAATGACAAGAATTTTCATTATTTTAATTTTAGGCGTGTTTAATTTCCTATAAAAATATATTTTACTAAGTTAGTATTCTTTACTGCCAAGATTTTCAGATTTCTTTATGTATCTACGATTTATTGCTTTCGAATGTACATTATTTGTAAATTTCTTCCATATTTATTTTAATTAGAGCTAAGAACAGAACACGAGTAACTGTGAAATGTTTACATTGCTGACCTGTTCGCATGCCATAACCTCTTCTGTGATGATCTCCAAAAGTGGTATAGCATTTCTGTCGTTACGTTTAAACATCTCTCTAACAATGGACAGCAAGTTCCACATGCCTTCCGGCTCTCTGCCTCTTAGAGGACGAAGTAGCGACGACCATTCTGCAGCCGCGGGAGGTGCGCTCGTACTTAAATAGTTCACATCGCTGTAAAAAGTAAATTTATTCGTTTACATAATACCTATGTATAGCAGTGTTGTAATTCGTGCCCTCATATAATGTAGCGAATAGCTATTATTTTATGAACTAAGGAGGTGATAATAAATTTATCTCATAATCTTACTAAGTGCTTAACTTTAAGACTTTTTACTGGTTTTGAAGGTTTTTGTTGAACATTCTCATTTCATTTAGTCATAATTTAATAAATGAAGTATAAAGTCTGCAGCAAACGACAATGTCAGGCAGGTATGGGACTTTTGTTCCGCCTTGCACTCACGGTAGGGATTCTTGTTGTATTTATTTGGCTAGTAATTATCATCAATCATTACAGTTTTAATTACCAGATTTTTAGAACAATGCATTCAAAAGTTATTTCAGTTTGTAGTTTGCATATAATTTTTTTTTTTTATGTTAGATGGGGCAGACGAGCAGATGATCGTCTGCAACTCAGGAGTCACAAACGCGTTGCCGGCGTTTTAGGAAGGAGAACGCTCTTTTCTTGAAGGTTTAAAGGTCGTATCGGTCCGGGAATACCGCAGACGATAACCCGTTCCACAGATTGGTTATGCGGGGCAAAAGTGTCTCGAAAGGCCACTAGTAGGTAGTGGAGCGCCAACTATCCAGGTGATGAGGTTGAAAATATCTTTCCTTAAATTAATTGATTTAACTTTTACTAAAATTTAACAGTTTACTACACATTATTAATTATTAATAAACATTATTAATAAAAAAACGTTTTTTTTTTAACTGGCAAATACACTAGTGAGCTCTTTCATTGAACTCGATGTAAACATTTCGTTTTTATGTAAATTATATTTTATGCACGGCAAGTTTAGAAAATAGGAATGTGTTTTATTAACGACACTTGAACGTTTGGTTATTAAAAAAAATTATATGTAGTTATAATTAAAAAAAAAATTATAACTACATATAATTTTTTTTTTGAGAAGAATTTATTTACTTTTAGCATAGTTCTAAAAATATGATATTTAGATGAAAATAGTTAGGATGATTCAGTTTATAAACGGTACAAATTTAATAATCATCCATCATATATTACTATAGTCAAACCGTTGTAAGCTTGGCCCTCCCGTTGGTTTGCGGGACGCGCGGCGGAGGTACGCTCAACCAATTAGCTAGTGTGTCGCTCTCGCTGGCAGTGACTGACATGAAAGCATGGATGTACTGTCATTTTTCTTAAGACTGCTACACACGGTATTATTTTGCCTGGATAATCTGCCGACTCAGCGTCACAAAAACATTCAAAAACATTTGGATTATTTTTCAGTTTTTAATAAACGTTTCCTTTTGTTCTTTATTTCAAGTAACTTGATTAATATACAGCAGAAGTTGTCGATTATGCGTGTGGTGACGGAAGAATACGGAGTATCACCACCCCTATTCATCCCGTGGGTGTCGTAAGAGCCGACTAAGGGAGCAAACTACGCTGGACAATGGAACTACTAAGAGAAGAAAAAGTTGAAGCAAAACCTATATGTACCAACCTTAAAAATTAGGCCTACCAAAGAGTTCTCTGTTAACAATATTAAAAAACGAGACAAACATCCTGAAAAATTGAAAATGGTCATAGAAAGAATCCAAATCTTTACAAGTCGAATATATTTTCTTACCATCTCCGCCACTTTTTTTTCTATGCGGAAATCCCCTTGGATATCGGAATCCCACCGGTGGCTATATCGGACTCGAACCGACTAAAAACCGCACGCCGTCTCCGGGAACCAGTTGCCAGGGAACCCTATCCAACCCTAGAATGGAAGTCCTTGGTACCCAGACGGCGGGTAGCGCATCTCGCCCCCGCTCGGCCTGCTTTTGCTAGGGTGACAGATGGCCTCACCTGTCACCCTTCCCTACCTGCCTTCGCTTATGGAGGACGGAGGTCGTTCTGCGACCTCCGGCGCCTAAGTCGGCTGAGGTACCTGGCAAGTGCCCGAGCCTGGCGGGCCGGGAGAGTCCTAAACCTCTCGCAGTCCCGCTCCGCCATCTCCTTCACAAGCATAACTTGCTCGCAGAAGGAGACGGCAGCGTTTCACACTCTCGCTCCGCACAATGGCCGCAATCATATTATCGAGCGAAAGAACTCCCACCCCGATGGCCGCCACGAGGCCACCCCTCTACTCCACCCACGTCGGGCATTCTGCCAGCATGTGGAGCGCCGTGTCCACGGTCCGGCCATCGCAGTGCTGGCTACAGGCATTGGCTCCTTGCGGATCAGACAAAAGTGATAACCCAAGCATCCTTTCCCAGTGATCACCTGCGTCAGCCGGTATGAGGATCCCGTGGTGCCTCCATAATGGGTCTTACCGCCGCACTCGGCTGCCCAAGTTGTTTCTACCACTCCTCTACGAGTTGGGATTTCTGGACCTCCATTTCTCGAGTCTCATGACTCTGACCCAACTCCCGCTCCTCCTTGCGCCATAAAGGGCCATGGACCGCACAACCCTCGAGTAGAGTCTTCTGCAGGAGTCATCGGGTCCGCGGCTGCACGAGCTGCTACAACCAACTTATGGACCAGACGAGCCGCAGATACCTCATCGAGGGCTCGATGCCGATGCGAGTGCCTCCTACTATGAGGCTGGCTCCCTCAGGTGGCTCCCTCAGGTGGCTCCCTCAGGTGGCTTCCTCCGAGGTCACAAAATCCGCCTAAGACGAATACATCCGTAAATCTAAAACTCTATAACTCGAATTATTTGGCGTTTCCCTTGAAGTTCGGCTTACAGAGTTTGTACTGTTTAAAGTTCTAATAAAGAGTATTTATTATTTTACTTCAGTATTAAATTGTATAATTACAGAATATATATTACAGGATGAAGATAAGGTGATTTTATTAAAATCATTTTACAAGTATTAAAATTTTACAATTAATCATAAAATCTTACAATTTATAGTGAAATTATAATACATGGCAATAAATTCAATTTTTATTCCAGCGTGTGTAGATTAAATCTCAAATAAATAAATCTGAAGATATCGAGTTAGTACATCGTTTCGTGTATAGCCGAGCGCATCACCCGCCCCGAGTCCCGCAAACCATCAGCCGTTCTCCTTTTAAAGCCAAAACTACTTTATCACTTAAATAAGTACAGAAGTTCAAATTATTACAGAACAAGCTAAGTGTTTTTGTACACACAAGATAACAATAGTTAGTTACCACAATACATTACCTGAACACGATAGGAGTAGGCACACAAAACTTGACCAAAATTTTGTTAATGTTGTTGTGCAATGTTTTCTCATCAAGAAACCATGAGGTGTACTCATAGGCGGATGCCCCGGCAGTGGGGTCGGGGGCTCCGCAAGTCGTATTTATAGGGTTCGGCTGAGTCGATAGCAGCTCATCGAGTATTCTTTGTGCTGTTGGTAATACTTGTCGTGGCAACTCTGATATAAGATATTGTGCGAATTTTTGTAGCTGGTCTCTTCGAAGTCTTTGTAAGGATTCCGACACAGGCGCTCGAAGGCATACTTGTGTAGGCTAGAGAAAACAAACGGTAACAATTAATGAGAAGTTCGAAAATTCAAAATAAATTGTGATTAGTCATAGTAGTATTAGTAATCTTCCTACAGAGTTAAATATTATTCATTATATTCATATAGCTTGTTCTTAAACGAAGCTTTGTTAGTTGTAAATAGTTTTATTTATGTATTTATTCTAAACAGTTTATTTTCAAAATACTTACAAGGTGTATTCTATAGAGGCAAACAGCAACAATATGTGCACACCAATGTGCTGTTGATGAACAAGTGCAGTTACATGATGATATCCTTTGTCTGTCAAATGTCACTGCCACATTGTATTGTGATCGTGGCATACCAAGTATAACCACTGTTGCTGATAAGTGGAAACCTAAAAGACATCAGAACAACTATTAACTAAAATACTTTTAAGTTGATTAAGTATCATTCGGACAGAGTTGAAAATTTTACTTGGCGATATAACATCTTGAAGTAAAATATGCTAGTTTTTGTCAATTAATTCAAGTATCCTACTGGCACAGTACTTGTTTCTTCCTCTGACAAACTGTGTGTCAAATCTCATAATGATTCCTGAGTAGATAGAACACATAGATAGAAACGTAACAAACTCACTTCCGTATTTATCATATCAGTTTGGATGAAAATGGTGATGCAATCGTTAGTTCCCTTTACCTAACAGTGTATTTTTTTTTTATTTAGAGTCAAACAAGTAGCTTGGTGTCTTTGTGGTAATTAACAACAGCTGCTCATGAACCCTGCAACCCAGGAGTCACCAGGAGTCAAAATTTATTAAAAGACGGTCCACATGTTTTTTTTTGCATTGAACAGTGAACAATAGTTTAAGTTGCAGCCCCTATAAGTCCGAGTAATTAATTAGAGCACTTTAAACGATTTAAGAGATAATGAATGAAAAGAAATATTACTTACCAATTTGTAACACATCTTTAACTGCCCTGTCCCTGAACAGATGTTCTCCTTTTTGAAACTCATCAGGCGAGCCATTTGCGAGGCACGAGTATAACCTGATGTCATCTTCACTGTCAGGAAAGCTCCAAAATGCAATTTGGAGCTGCAGCTGTTCAGGCACAGGGGGATAGACGTGTTCAACCAGTTCGAACGGTATATGGGACGCTACACACTTAGCTGCTAGCTCACTCAGTGTGCACACTGATTTCTCTGAAAAGACAAGTAAATGTACAAACCATATTTTATTTGTTACAATTAATGAAAGTTAATAACCATACAATTTATTTAAAAAATGAAAGACCTGGCATGACATCGGGCATGCCATTAAAAAGCAATTTAATTGACTTTGAAGTCTAATACATATAACATTAGTACATTAATGGTTCTGGATGTGCATAACAACAATAACTTATTTAAAAAGAAAAAATACCAATGTACAGTGTATGTCATTGAATGTTTATAAATAGTATAAATTAATAATAATAGACAATCTACAATTCTTTTATGGTATAGGAGGGAACAAGTAAATGTGTCACCTGATGGTAAGTAACTACTGCTACCGATAAACACTTGCAACTCGTGAGTCACAAGAGTGTTGCCGCTTTTTAAGTCCTCCCAAAAATCACAGGGTTCTGATAAGGTTATCAGAGGGCCGCGTGCAAGTTTGTTTCACATAACTCACTCACCACTGTGAACATGTTTAGCGTTGCGTTTGGTGGAGATTTCAGTGTGGGCTAATCGTAGCACCAAACGCAATCACCATGACGATTGAGTAGAGGTAAAATAAACTCACACTTGGCCCTTAGAGCCCAGCCCAGTGAGGTTACTGACTCAATGAAAAGCAACGTAAGAATTGCCCAACACTGGCTCCCTGTGAACCTATGGTATCACTCCGGTTGACATTTACTTCTAACAGCACATTTAAAAATTTATTGTATAAATCGTCAACATTAACTTAAATGATGGTTCAAAAGTATGATTTAAAGGTTAAAATTATAATTATGATGATTATTAATCATATTTGTGATTAAATATTTTGATGTTGATTATAGCATTTGCATACATTGATATTTAAATGGCAAAAAGAAACCACAGGATTAAAGTCAATCTTTAAAGTTTAGGTGTAACTTTATTTTGTCTTATTTTTGTTAATTAAATCCATAACATAAAATAAAAAAAATAAAAAAAATTAGAAAAGGAATTAAAAAGAGTACATGACTTATACAGAATAATCTAAAAAAAATGCTTCTAATACACTTGACACTAAAAAATCCATCAATATTATATAACAGGACAATATTTTAAAGCTATGTTTCACATGGTATATTCAAAATATTTTAGTGAAAGTAGTGAAAGTTCACAAGAATTAAAACTTTCCATTCACAAAATATTGTATACAAATAATTAAGTATATAATAACACTGGATGAACAGGAATTAGCACCCAGTGGTATTATTAACAATTTATACTTAGTTCACTCAAAGGTAAATGACTTCAAGCACCTGTTCTTTGTATCACTTAACACAATGTACCCAGTACTAGTCTATGACATCAAAACTTTCAATGAAAATATGAACTAAATATCATAATAACAACAAGTCATGACATAAAATCAACACAATTTCGGTTGTAAATGTATGATTCGTCTAAAATATATTATCACTATCATCATTTCGATAGTTCGAAACAAAGAATCAGCTGTACATATAGTTACCTTGAATGGACTTTTTTGTAGAACGGCTACCGAATGAATTTGGAAGATTGGGACGCTTCCAGCCTCGCCAGTTATTACATAGACTTTCTGGTTCCGAACTCCAACTACACAAGGAATCCTCTTCGAATCGTTCAGAGTCCTCAAAACTGAAATGATCAGCCTCCTCCCAGTCGAGTAAGGGAGAGCCCACGTCGACAGGGGGGGCTTGTCGTCCCCCTTTCCCATTATTATTTGATGCCCCCGCCACTTTAGTGAGTTTTATTAAAATAATCGCCCAAAAATTTGCTGGGACACTATAAAATTACCACAAGGGGGTACCCACGGCCACTAAATAAACATAACTCTTTTGTTAACTAATCCAACGGATTTATGTCACTTGGAAAAAGCTTTCAAAAGATGGATATGATAAAATAAAATACATTACAGAGTGTTTCACTTTCTAGTTTAAAATCAAACGATCTAAATATCCCCATCAGCACAATAACAAATATGGCCGAACAACGTCCCGTCTATATCTATACTATGCACAGAGTACAGTATACTATGTATGTAGAGTATGTAGTAATCTATAGTCTATAGCTATCCATAGCACACCTAAGCTGCCACTCACCCACTGCCATCTGTTCTATATAAAGCATAGTTACGTTTATAGTTAGCTAGCTACCTATACACATAGTATTGACTTTTTTCAAATATAGTATTACTTTAACCAGATTTAAATGATTTTTGTCTTTACACATACTAAAAACCAAATTTTACTTTAGCAACATAAAAAATAATTCACGTATTGTTGTCATACTTTTGAGCATAAAAGAATCTATTCGCAGACGTACAAACTAATCAATACAAAATTTTATTCACCCGTACACTACGACAGTACGTTTAAGAAACTGTAGATGGCGTGAATTACTGTAACGTAGATTACCGACCAATTTTTTTTTTCTCATGCATCCTAGAGCTGTAATAGATCAATAAAAATTAATAAATAATATAAATAAAAGCATGAAAATTGTTGGTAAGGATGGAGAGGCAATCAACCGGAAAAAAATTAATTAAAGTCGATCTGAAATAGGAAGGAAAAATAGGATTCAGTTTAAGGGGTGAAAATGGGTTTTCACGTTTTCCTACGATACTAGATTTCTTATGAAAAAAGTTAAATATAAAAGTTGTGAATTATACCCTTCTTCTCCTGAGCCCATATCCCATGTCTCATAGGATCGGCACTCCAAATCCTTTTATGCCATTCTGTTCTGCACGAAGACTTAGTACATTTCGTAATATACAAATAGTCTAGACGGCAGTCTCGTCAATGCCGTGAAACCGAAACTGAAATGTTTATTTGTGCGAGTTTACAGACGTGTGTGAGTTTTAGTGTTGGAACATTGACATCACCGGAATATCGATATCAACAAATCGGCAATACGAATGTCCCTCTGAGTTGGTAGTAGGTTGTAAGCTTTGTTGTATGCTCTCGTGTATAAGCACAGACAAAAGTCGGACATGTGTATCTGTCCTAAGCCTTACAAATTCCTTGTTTTTTCTACTATAATTTAAAATGTCACGGAAATAAAATATTTTCAAGGACTTTCAACCTGTTTGTCCAAACTTTGACCTTAAAAACATCTTTGAGTGAATTAAGACAGTTGTAAATAATGTCACCCAAGGGTGTAAACATAATTAATAAAACAAGTTTAAAAATCTAATTAAAATTAATGATAAAACTTTCTTAGCTATTTTAATATGAAATCTAAGAACTTTGTTAAATTATACCAAGTACGTTTACTTTTAATTTACCGGATTAGAGGTTAGTCAGTCCAGTCAGAATAAGTCAATTGGGAAGTACTTCTCTGATTCAATCTAAATCTATAAAAGAAGAAACTAACAAGACCATAGAGTGACCAAGAGCCCCCAATCTTGTAATATAGGCAACGAGAGAGATGGATAATAGATAGTTACCTCTATCTCTTTCTAGTCGAGATCTGTGATTGACAAGGAAATTTCTAATCTCCCGACTGTTCTACGAAAACCATGCCCTCTTCACGATAGCCAATTGCAGCTTTGCTAAACAGAGACAGAGGGAGTTATGCCCCATAGCTCCCTCTATCATAATATCGATTGATAAATCTCCCTGGTTGCCTGTATCGCTTCCACTTACAGGCAGCTGTACCCCGTATTATTTATAAGTTGCTTAAATCTCCATGGACAAGTCTATTAATTTTACTGTCAGGCTGTTTGACACTCGATTCACTGGCTGATCGATCAACGCACAGCTAAACCCACTGGGTCTAGAAGCATTAAAATTTGAACCCCTAAGAGTTGAAAATGGGGAATGGAGGTTTTATGAAACTTCGTTATTTTTGATAGTAGCGTTTCAAACTCACAGTAAATACTCTTTATTAAAAGTAATAAATACGTTATTACCAATGTTTCAAAACTACCCTTAAAAATACACTATACCTGATTAAATGGTGTAGTTATAAAATAAGGTTGGCAATTTGTACATGCATATTATAGTAGATAAAATCCGAGATTTCTCTAGATTTGTAATGTGATGTCAAAGCCTGTACGTACGTACGGTACGTACATAAATCAAAGGAAAAGAACAGGCAAGAAACTCTATAGACAATTTTAAATACTTTATTTTTAAAACTATATGGTTTTATTACTTACAAAGGAAAATAAAAACGACGTGAGGGGTCTATGGACCCCCGGTCAGAACGGAGTTCCTTTCGCTATTTGGTAGACGCTGGATGTACTCGTAGGACATGGTTACAGGGCATCTTTATATGCAAAAAAATAGAAAGATATTTAATTATATTTATCGGGTCACCTGATGGAAAGTACTTACATGTCTACCACAACATACGTTCGCACCTAAATTGAACGCTAAGTAAGGGTAAAAATAGGATGTGTTTGTTATAAGGCAGTAATAGATATTCTAATATATATTAGAATATCTATTGCTGACTGATTTGATTGAACGTGGATTGATTTTGAACCTCGAATATCTTCTAAAATGTTAATTTTAAATGATATGCTGGTAAGAGCAATTTCATCTACATTAAATGCAGAACGTTTCTGAAGTATTTAATTGGATTAGGAGTAATAATGTATTGTTTAAAATAGGGTGACAAGACCAGGTTGAAGAACTATCGACCCATATCCCTTCTAAGCCACGTCTACAAGCTGTTTTCGAGAGTCATCACGAACCGTCTTGCGCAAAGACTCGACGAATTGCAACCACCGGAGCAAGCTGGGTTTCGGAGCGGATATGGCACCATAGACCACATCCACACAGTGCGGCAGATATACAGAAGACCGAAGAATATAATCAGCCCCTGTGTCTAGCATTCGTGGACTATGAGAAAGCCTTTGACTCGATCGAGATCTGGTCTGTTCTGGAGTCCCTGCAGCGTTGCCAAGTAGATTGGCGATACATCCAAGTGATGAGATGTCTCTACGAAGCCGCCACCATGTCCGTCCAAGTACAGAATCAGCAAACAAGGCCCGTACCATTGCATCGAGGAGTGAGACAAGGGGACGTTATTTCCCCAAAATTGTTCACAAATTAATGCAATGGAGGACATGTTCAAGACGCTGCACTGGAAAGGGCGTGGCATCAATATCAACTGCGAATACATCTCTCACTTGCGATTTGCAGATGACATCGTCATCATGACAGAGACGTTGCAGGACCTACAGCAAATGCTGAATGACTTAGCTGACACTTCTGTACGCATCGGCCTACGGATGAACTTGGATAAAACCAAGGTCATGTTCAACGAACATGTACTACCGGAACCGATTGCGGTACACGGTGCCGTTCTCGAAGTTGTTCAAAATTATGTGTACCTCGGGCAGACATTGCAGTTAGGTAGAAACAACTTCAAGGACGAGGTGCACCGAAGAATTCGGTTGGGTTGAGCAGCGTTTGGGAAGCTACGTCGAGTCTTCTCATCGTCGATCCCACAGTGCCTTAAGACGAAAGTCTTTAATGAGTGCGTCCTACCCGTCATGACATACGGAGCTGAAACGTGGACACTTACGGTACGGCTGGTCCACAAGTTCAAAGTCGCTCAACGTGCTATGGAAAGGGCTATGCTCGGCGTTTCTCTAAGGGATCGCATCAGAAATGAGGTGATCCGGCAGAGAACTAAGGTCACCGACATAGCGTACCGGATCAGCAAGCTGAAGTGGCAGTGGGCTGGCCATTTAGCCGCAGAACCGATAACCGTTGGGGAAAACGAGTTCTTGAGTGGAGACCGTGTCTCGGCAAACGTAGTGTAGGACGCCTACAGGCCAGGTGGAGTGACGATTTGCGCAAAATGGCTGGCAGGAGCTGGATGCGAGAAGCCCAAAATCGATCTAAGTGGCGTGCAATGGGAGAGGCCTATGTCCAGCAGTGGACTGCGATAGGCTGATGATGATGTTTAAAATAGCTTCGTAAATAACCCATTTTTTTTTGTAATAATAAAAAGATAAAAATGATTTCTGTGGGTTATCCTTAAGAGATAGAGATATACTGTCGCGGATTTTTCGTACATCTTTTTAAGTTATGTAATTCCGTAATTCATTATTTTTATCTAATTTCGTAAGATTTAGCCAGCTTTTGCAATGTAAACTCACAAAAACATGTTTTTGACGACAAATCTTTGAAATTCTCGGATTTTCTCTACTATAATATGCATGTATTATACATATAAACCCGCCTCTTGAATCACTCTCTCTATTGATGACAACCGTATTAACCGTTGCTTGGTTTAAAGGATCTAAGCTATATTATAGAGTAAAAAAGTCTTGTTACACATCTTTTGTGCTGGCTCCCATCCGCTTAGCGTGTAACGCGCGATAAGGAACTTCGTTTCAATAATTATATAACTACAAAGTACAGTGCTAAACCACATACAGTTCCGGTATTGGTATTTGGTACTGGTGGTTGGCTCAGGTTTCCGCATTTAGACTCAAGACCGGTCCTTTGTGCGTCGAGGTAAGGTTAGCTAGGTCAGCCAATTAAACTCCTTCCAGAAGCGTTCGTCGTCTGGAGCGTTCACTAGAAAGGAGCGATTTTCTACCAGGTATAATACTAGATCATTGAGTGGTAGTTTCTTGTGTTTGAGACATCCCCTGTAATGATGAGTGTTTGTCGCACTAACGATGAATACCTGTTCAGGACTAGGTGTTCTATTTTGGTTTCTACAAATCTTTGGATGTCTAATCTGCTAAGACTAATCCGTCTGCATGTAAGACGTGGTGAGAATTCCGTCAGCCCCACTATGGACTACTTGCTGGTGCGTGTGTTTTTCTACCTTCGGTTGGGTCCCGGTAATTACTACTATAGTCCAGAAATGATCAGCCCAATTAAAAGCATTTATAGGTATCAAAAGTATACCTGCAGTCAAGAAAGCCTGTAACCGGACAAGTTAAAAACACAAAATAGGAAATTTTATTAATACATATTAAAAATACCTACAAGACTAAAATGTGGATGTAAAGAGACTTTGTTTCTACGGATCTATTGATGAGTGTATCACCACGAACAGGTCAGGGATGGATGCCTGTAACTAAAATAAGTTGTTGCTGGAAAGTTTGAGCCATTTAACATAACATAATTCCTGTGAACATCTTTCGGTTGTAATGATGATAATGAATACTCGTTTTGTTTACATATTTACAACCATAAATCCTTATTGTCTAAACAACTTTTTGATCTACATTTTTTTTTATGTTACAGGGGGCAGACGAGAAGACGCTTCACCTGATGGAAAGTACTTACAATTCTAACATTACATACGTTCGCTCCTAAATTGAACCCTAAGTAAGGGTTAAAATAGGATGTGTTACAAATCAGTCAAACAGTACAAATAGATATTCTAATATATATTAGAATATCTATTGCTGACTGATTTGATTGAACACAAAGACAGTTTTATACTAATTTCTTACTATTTGTATTAATTCAATATCTTTAAAACTTTCACATTTAAAACCATAAAAAGATAGTAATTTCTTTTAAAGTTATAAGACCTCAGTTCCCGGATTACTTTTCTTTCTACAGTAAATTTTCAATAAATTAAGCAAAATAATGACTACAGATTTTTATTTAAAAGCTTTTACACTACAAGTGCTTTAAACAAAGTTATTCTCATTTCAATTAAATTAGAGGACAAGCGAGTCGTCCATTAGAGCTAGGTCTTGAGATGAAAAACTCGAAATGGATAAAGTCAAAAAGTAAAAATATTACTTCCCTAGTAATATTATAAATGTGAAAAAAACTCTGTCTGATTGTTAGGCTTTTACGGCTAAACCGCTAAGGCACGGTACTATTATAATACAGTACTGCAACTTCATACAAACGGACGAAACGGGAGCTATACCTACGCGCCTCGATCTCGGGGTGCGCTCGGGGCGCACCCCGAGATCGAGGAGTCACGGCTGTACCGCAGTGTCGAACGGACTGCGTGTTGTTTTTTTAACAATAACCGCGCGATTTTTTCTCTAAAAATCAGTTAATATGACGAGTAGGAAATATTGTGCTGTTTTTGGTTGTATGAATTCGTCAATAACGCATCCAGACATAAGTTTTTTTAAATTACCTGGAAACTCTGATAAGTAAGACTATAAAATAATTTTACTTACTAGTACGTACGGTACATAATGTGTGTCTTTTTAATGGATAAGTATTTCCTTTTATCTCACGAAAAAAAAGGTGTTTGGATGAATAAATAAAGCAAATAGAGTAACGGAAAGTTATTGAGACGAGTGAAATAGGGAGTTACATGCGGTTCTGAATGAATCATGATACGGTAGGTACCTACCTACTTACGCTTGTGTTAAAACTTCGGTGCATGTTTGTTTTGTTACTTTGCATAATTCAAAAAAAAGAAAATTCTACTTAAAGACGTGGTATTTTATTATTAATAATATATCTTTATTATCTGTGTGTATGAATAATACTAAAAAAAATTTGTTACCGTCTGTGTGTCATTAGACAGTTTTCGAAATTTTCACAAAGTGTTTCTGCTGCTACTATAACAACATATACCACTAAAAACTGGTTTTATTTTCTCGGTATTAACAACAACAGCTAGACTCATATATAATATTTAGATGTTTGAGGGTTGTGATTTTAAAACATTCGTAGTCAGCTGTTCAGCTTTTTAATAATTAATTAATTGGTGACCAAAGAATTTTTGTTTTGAGTTGTTGCGTGTTGTAGGTTATAGGTTAGGTAATTTATAGAGACGTTAATTAGCTGAGATAAAAAGTTACTTACTCGTCAGCTGTTTCTTGCATTCTAGTTGAGTAGGTGGTAGGTGTTGGAGTTTCTAAGGATTGGAGTTTTGTAACGCGTATGGAGAAAGCACATTTATTTTATTTTATAGAAGGATTTTTTTCGGTCGCTAATTTATAAGCCCGATTGGTTTTTCAAACAAAAAAATGTTTTTTAATTAAATCTACCAATCAAAAAACAACACGCATTTTTATTGAACAATTCCTATTCAATATACAAAGTATTTCATTTATTTATATAAAAAGGATATATACAATCACAAATCTAAATAGAAACAGAAAGTAGGCAAATATAATTAAAATGCTGGAGACGGGCAGCCCTAACGCATGTTTAAGTACCGCGCGGCTGTAGGCATTTATTTCTATCATGCGGCCGAGTTACAATACTGTATTATAATTGTACCGTGGCTAAGGCGATTTCAATAAAATTTGCCAAGAAGATACTTTGATTCTTGAGGCAGGACATACGCTACTTTTTACGGCAATAACTAACATACACGCTGTACATACACCAGTAAAAGCTTGTAATTTAATAATTACTTAAGATAATTGACACAATCCGTTTGATCTTAAACAAGGCAGGGCCTGAACTTTGGTAACCACACTGAAAAGATAGTGTCAAGAATTGAAAAATTGCTACTGTTAATTAGGCATGTAGTGAATAGCTAAAAGAGTTTATAAGGATCCTGTGAGTAGGCGAGGCGGTTTAAGCAGGTCACGAAATATATGTGCTGACTAGATCGTCATTAATGCTTTTAACGAGTCCCTTCTGAGCGTGTATGAAAGATCTGATGAATGTGGTAGAGGGTAGAGGCACAAGTTGTATGTCACGATCGTGGCAAATGACGTTCAAACGGTAAATTACCAGTCATTTCTATCTCTACCGACTCGGACAGGAATGAGATGTAAGTCGTAGTGTCTATTTTTAAATATGAACGTATAAGTATATGGTATATATATCTTATGATATACATTAAAGAAATTTGTATCATATAATGCTTTGATTCGCTTTAAATTAAATTATTGGAATGAATTTAGCTAGTTATTGTTTTCAATTTATTATGATCAATAGAACTGAACGCATCGCTAAAGAATACCATACCTTAGTTCTGACATTACTTGACTTGACAGTTGACAGTAATTGAACATGTCTCACAACTGACAACTCAAAGTTGAAAGATTGTTCTCGATTTTTTGAAAATGCCTTTTAATTATTTTTATTCACAATGTCGTTAAAAAAAATTATTGTGTAAAATTGCTGGCTTAGATTTATTTAATCCCTAGCTACCACTTAATCAGACTGATCTGGATCGGCAGTAGAGGTTATAATAAATCAGTGGTGAAATTTAAAAGTCATTGTAAAATAGTAACAAAATGTTTTGTTGGGGTAATGCGACTTATCATGAACTATGTATAGAAGGACCAGATACCCTTGACTTGGTAAGAGATTATTTTGATACTGACCTACAAAATATTTAACGCCCGAAATTGCTTTATACAATCTTTACTAAAATGTGTTAAAGTAATTATGGAAACATAAGTTGCCCTAAAGATATAATTTCTAATAAGCTTGAATTTTATGAAGAAGCTAAATAAATAAGACGTCTCATATTCATCTAATTTAGTTAGTTAAGTTAGATTAGTTAAGTGTTATTTTGTTGGGTATCAGAATTATATGCCAAAGTTCGCTTACAACATAGATCCTTGGTTTTTATTTTCTGTATGTACAGGTTATAAGACCTACACTGTCGAAATGGAAAGAAAGCAATCACATGAAAGCAATAGCTGCTGGAGAATTCCATACTATGTACTTGACAAGTAGTGGCACCTTATATTCTTGTGGAAATAATGAAGTAGGCCAGTTAGGACGCCATACAGAAAAGACAGAAGGCAAACATCCAGGTATTAATATATTTTTAAGTGAAACAATAAAGTTTTCTATTACTGATTTCTTTATAATCCAATTTGAATGTACATAAATCTGTTACTAAACTATACTGTACATCTGTTACTATTTATAGTAGTAATACGGAATTTTATTTTGATAATTGTTTTTGTTATTGTTAACTCTTTAGTACAGACACAAGACAACTTACTGTATGTTTAAGGTAGGACAATGAGTTTTAAGACAGCATTTACTACTATGGTATTTAAAAATATTTGTATCTAGTACTTATGTGTATCTTTGTAAAAGTTTTATTAAATAAATTAATACACAAAAGTATCTTAATTTTTCATGATGTCATATTTAAGAATATTGGGTAATAAGAAGTTGACTTGTGTATGTAAACTAATAAAAAAAAAATTGGATGTCTATTATTAATAAAAACATCAAATGTTGCTTAACTGACAACATTAAATATAACTTTAAAGACTATTATCCCAATATATGTGGGTACATAAAAATACATATCATATGATGCTTGTTTGCTGCATTCAAAATTAATGGCCCAAATTAAAATTTATAACTATTTTTAACAATACTTAAAATATCATTGTAAAGCTTTTATTTAAACATATTCTGAGGTCTCTTTTATGTCTGTTGGAAGTACATTGTGAAGCTGTGCTCCGAAAAATGTCAAAGAGTTTTGACCATAGTTCTAATTGATGAAAATAACTGGGTAATTTTTAAATTTGGTAAGATGATTATTTTTTACTAAAACTTAATTAGTTTTATATAAATGTAAAATTAATTTATACTTTTACTCCCAGAGTAAAAATATCAAATACATTTTTCAGCCCCTGTTGAGACATTCAAAGACTGTACAATTGTAACAGTGGCATGTGGTATGCAGCATTCTGTTGCTCTGGATGAATGGGGCCAGCTCTTCAGTTGGGGATCAGACAGTTTGGGACAATTGGGCAGTAATCTAGGGATTCATGCTCAAGATAAACCAAAATTTGTTAAAGGCCTTGCAACAAAAAATGTTATACAAGTGGCCTGTGGAGCATACCACTCAATAGCTTTGACAAATAGTAAGTATTGTTGTATTATTTACATTCATTATCCAAATCATCAACAGACTTTAATCTTCAAATACTTTTCAGAAACTACTACTGCTGCTGGTTCTTTGTATTTGAAAACATTGTTGTCATGGACTCTTGGAAAAATTTGTTAATAGCATAATTCCATTAATATGACCTTGTTATTATAGTGCAATGTTGTAGTAGGAGGGGAAGGGCTCGTGGCTTAGTGATAAACGAGTAGGCAAAGTTAAGCAATCCTAGCCATGTCAACCTTTGGATGGGTGACCACTTTTAACATGTTGACACCCCTCTGAGGCTCGAAGAACACGTAAAGCCGTCGGTCTCAGTTGCTATATGAACATCTTTGGCAATTGTTATGGGGAGTTTAAGCCCCAAAAAGTCTGACAACAGTCTTTCTATAGAACCTAGATATCGCTTAGTTGTTGGGTTGTGGAGGTCTGATAGCAGTCGCTCCACATAAAAAATCGAAGTACAGCTATATCGTTGTTGTCTTAGTTTGGGAAAATGGCTTGGAGGAAGAAGATTGTAGTATAGCCTTGGGTAGACTAAATTTTGTCATTTTAATTTAGTCGAAGTTGAAACAATAGCTAATCTAGTTATTTTTTAGATTGATAAAAGTGATGTTTATGAGGTTTAATTCCGAATGTTATTTATATGTTTTTTAAGGTTTAAGGGTTTGTTGAAAGGAGAACCTCTTTTTCATCTAAACTTACTAGCTTAACTTACATAAATGTATAAAACATAACAATTAAAGCATGCTTTGGCACAGTTACAATCCTGTAATGAGATGATAGTAAAAATAAAAATAATAATTTACCAATATTTTGTGATTACAGGAATGAAAGAACCAGTACCTTTTTTATTAAGTATTAATTTTTATTGTAGATGGTGACTTGTATGCATGGGGTGCAAATAGCTATGGCCAGTGTGGGTTGGGATCGCTGACGAGCAAACAAATGGTACCGCAACCAATCACCTCGTTACTCGGAGTCCCTATTGCACTGATCGCATGTGGCAGTAACCACACCTTCGCCTTATCTAAGTAAGCTTTGTTTAACACTTGTTAAATGTATGTATTTTCGAGTGCAAATCTTGATCATAACCTAGATCTTATTTGATAAATAGGTAAATGGGTAACGAGTGGACGGGACGGGATTTCCCCTTCACCCGCAGCAATAATAGCAGTTCCCGGATCTCTCCTATTACAGGCGCAGAGTGGCACACCGTGTATTTTTATTCTGACACACCACCCCGCCGCAAACCCCAGTGGGGTGACGGCTCGAGGGGATTTCCACATATTTTGTTACTATAAATATCAGGTATATAGCTACATATATCTGCCGGTGATGTTGGCAGAAGCCGAAGTAGAAGAAGAAAGTATGAGTATTATTGAACTAGCTTTTGCCCGCGACTTCGTTTGTGGGGTGGTCGACATCAGACATCGTAGAGGATACAATGAATCAACATTATAGGGATATGTATAAAAGGAGATACAAAATAACTGGCTGACTGATCGAAAAATATTCGTTGCTAAAGAGTTTCTGGCACTCATAGCCGAGGCTCTATGTTGCTGAATTAGTTACATAAATTCCCAACCCTATTTTATAACAACCCCATTTTACCACTCACAGTATTCATGAAAAGGAAAAAAAAAATGACGTCTTATTATTATTATTTTAAATAGAGAGTATAATTATACTGCGAGTTTGGAATCGATGAGTTAAAAAAATAGTTCACCATACAAATTTGCAATTTTGAAAAGTAAAGTTACTGTGAGTTTGAAAACGCTACTACCAAAAATAACGAAGTTTCATATAAATTTACAACCCACCTTTTGCACCCTTAGGGGTGGAATTTTAAAAAATCTTTTCTTAGTGCACACGGTGCACATCTATCACACCTAAGAAACATTTGTCCATAATTTCATGCTTCTAGACCCAGTGGTTTCAGTTTCTAAAAAGAGGGTGGCACACGAGTAGACGGGTCACCAGATGAGAGAGAGAAAGCGTCTACCGCCGCCCATGAACGCCTGTTACTCAGGAGGCACAAGCGCGTTGCCGGCCTTTGAGGAAGGAATACGCTCTTTTCCTGAAGGTTTGAAGGTCGTATCGGTCCAGAAATATATAACTTGTTCCTCAGGTTGGTAGTGCAAGGCAAAAAGTGTCTTGAAAAACACACAGTTGTGGAATGCCAATTATCCAAGTGGTGGGGATCAACATTTTGCCATTTGGAACGATGGCGGAAAGTCCAAACAATTCCTCGGAGCACTCCATGTAGGATAGAGAGTGCAGATCGAAGCTACATCTCTACATAACGCCAAGGGATCGAGCCGGTCGGAGATCTTTTGGCTATCGACGATTCGCGTCGCCCTTCTTTGGATAGGGTCAAAAGGAAGAAGCTGGTACTGAGGTGCCCCCCTGCATAGAGATGAGAACAGTATTCCATATGCGGCCGGATTTACGCCTTATAGAGTTGGAGGCAATGGGCTAGAGTGAAATACTGCCTCGATCTGATCAGCACACCGAGCTTCTTAGTGGTTAATTTGACCTAACCCTCTAAATGACGGTGAAACTGGACTTCGCTCGATATGTCGATGCCTAGAATTCCGATACTGGGCACTCGAACTCGCACTCGAACTGAGGCAGTTAGGGAGGTGCTCTCGAACCGAGGGCCGTAACCGAAAATATTGGGGCGGCCGTTATAAAAGGCATCTCCCGTTGTGCGCTATATAGCTCCTCTGCATAGCAATGGATGCTACTAGTTCGCAACATATCATTTATATGCAAAAGAAACAGTCTTGGGGGACACCAGCATTTACAGACTTCAAGTCGGAGCATGCACCGCCGATAACGACCTTAATGCTTCCCCCTACAAGATAACTGGTGACCCAGTTACATAATTTTTCGGGCAGCCCATAGGAAGGGAGCTTTGTGATAAGCGCCTTATGCCACACCCGATCGAAGGCCTTCGCTATGTCCAAGCTTACCGCACAAGCATCTCCCTTAGTCTCGATCGCCTGTTCCCACTGGTGTCTTAGACTAACGAGAAGATCATCAGCTGAGCGACCTATATTGTCGGTCATTGAGTAACTGATGATTTTTAAGTACCGGAGGAGCTGGCAGTTAGACTATAGGCCTGTAGTTGAACGGATCAGAACGTTCGGGACGACGAGTTTTATACATATGGATTAATATTCAGGAATGGTCAAGAGGTCGAAAAGTGTTTTCCGTCCTGATTGTCTCTTATGGTACTTTTGCACCATGGGATTAAATAGTTAGGCCTATCGAATACTGACACCATTTATTTTTTGTATACCCCGCTCGTAACAGTAAAATCCAGAATGTTTGTGGCTGTAACCATGTGCGATATAATATATTGTTTTGAAGTTTACTTTATTCATGCAAAACAGTCGCAATGCCGATTCGATCAATTTTAACCTTGAACGTAAGTAGGTGAATACAGCCGCCTATCACCAATCTTGAACAATGTGTACGTACTATCTTTATACAACTTTTTAATATACAAAAGGTTCTTTTCTATTTGGAACTCTTTTACTAAATTACTTTTTATTGTATTCTGATATATTTCAAGTAAAATGTATTCATTTACCTGTAATATGATTTAACCTTGTATTTTATATAAGCGAATATTATATATATATAAATATTGCAGAAACTTCACTTAGGATTTCTTACATTTTTTATTTGATTCTGATTTTTCAATACTCAGTCATGCAGGTGGTACATTTTGTAGTCTAAACAATAATTATTACCTCATTGTCTGTTTGATCTTGAATTTGATTTAATCAATGTCAATGGTCAATGGCCTTCTAAAAAATCTGTTCTAGTTTAGAGCTTTTTTCGAAACTGCAATATCGCCAGAATCAATTTAACAATGAATTAATCGATTACAATGGATTAAATATCTTTAATCGACTCATCTGAATTGTAGGCCCCGATACTAAAAGCCTAATTATTTTCTTTCTTGTCTGATCTACATTACCGATATTTCGACACCGTAATACTCTACGCGTAGTTAAAGTTCGAAATGGAAGAACTAATTGCTGAAATATTAATCATCGTGCAGACAGGTGTAAATACTATATACACTGGTCAGCAAACAAACCGAGCCACCCGCTACCTAGGAACTCTGATTCGATTTTCTCAAAAGTATAAAACTTACAACTATCAAAGTTATACCTACAAAAAGTGCGTTTCATGGTGATTAAAATGACTGAAAATTAATTCGAAAGTACCGTCAACTCACATTGTAATCAAGCAACAAACACAATGCTAACGATTTGCTCTGTTTTCACCAGAGTTTGAAATTAGCGTTCTTTTTCTCTACAATGAGGGTAGTCGGATATTTCTTATCATTTCTTTAGTTTTTGTCCATCGTTTGCTCAGACGCGTGTGTTTTTGCTACTTTTTTCGATTAATAATGGATACAACACCTCTGGAAGCAGCTCAAGCTGTAGCATTACTTCAAGCAGGCATTGCGCAACGTGAGTCCCTCGAAGGCTTCGAATCAGCAGATCTTCGGTGCAACGAGTTTACAGACGATACCTAGAGACTGGAGAATTCGATCGCCGTCCAGGTACGGGCAGACCTAGGGCTACATCAGCAGCAGATGATCGTTATATCCACCTTACTGTTCTGCGAAATCGCCACCTCAACGCAGTTCAAGTCCAACAAAGTCTGCGTGACGAACGCCAAGTGGTCATAAGTTCAGATACCGTCAGAAGGAGACTTGCTGAACGGAACCTGACCCCAAAAAGAGCTGCAACAGGCCCAGCATTAACGGTAGCACACCGTCGAGCATGACTTGAATTTGCTCGAGAGCATAGGGATTGGACATTAGAGCAGTGGAGTAATGTACTCTTCACTGATGAGACCAGGGTGAGTCTACATGGAAGTGATCGACGTCAGAGAGTATATCGTCGCCCTGGAGAACGTTATTCTCAGTGTTGCATCGAGGAAACTGTTGCTTATGGAGGAGGATCTGTAATGGTCTGGGGCGGCATCTCGTTAACAGCACATACAGCGTTAGTTTTCATCGAACCGACGGGCCGTACACGTGGACTGACTTCTCATCGCTACATTACTGAAATCCTCGCAGACCATGTGGTACCTTACGCAGGATATATCGGACAGGATATGCAATTGATGCATGATAATGCACGGCCTCATGTTGCTCATGTGGGGACCCAGTATCTACGCGACGTCAGCATTCGTACGATGGACTGGCCAGCTCGAAGCCCGGACTTGAATCCGATAGAACACTTATGGGATGAGCTGAAACGTCGGGTTCGAGCCCGGGTACCTGCTCCAACAAGGCTTCCAGAGCTGCGAATCGCAATTGAAGAGGAGTGGAATACCATTCCTCAAGATTTTATCGTCGGGCTCGTAAGGTCGATGAATACAAGGATGCTGGCAGTTATCCGAGCAAGGGGAGGGAATACGGAATATTGATCAAAAACTTTTTTTTATTTTATCTTTGTTTTTGGCTTTAATTTTTTTTTTCACTTTATCGTTACTAACGATTGTCACGACTGGAAAACGACTCTTCTTTGTAAAATCCTTAATAAACACTGAAATATTGATTAAACCTAATGAGTTTCCTTTCATTTTAATCACCATGAAACGCACTTTCTGTAGGTACAACTTTGTTAATTGTAGGTTTTTTAGTTTTTGAGAAAATCGAATTAGAGTGCCTAGGTAGCGGGTGGCTCGGTTTATTTGCTGTCCAGTTTAGGTTTGTCCATAATAATTGAAGATTACTCGAAAAAAATGTAAAAGTATTCTCTCAGTCCATCCAGCTTTCATAGTACAAGTTCTTAGCTTAGTTTGAAACTAGATGGGGTTGTGTGTTAGACGTCCGAAATAATAATAATAATTTATTATTGCTGTTTCGACAAAGCTCTTGATGGTCAACTTACCACAGTTGTACTTGTACAGTCACTATTTAGTAATCATATTCTTAATTGAGAGTTATTGATAACTTTAATTCGAGTTGAAACTATATTATTAAAGTATTATTTGTCATTTAGTAAATGTGATCAACACTTTAGCTATGAACTGTTATCATTAAGTTTTTTTTACATAATAATAGCTGACTACGTTTGCGGTTAGATAAACTTAATTTCCCATATTATTGTACGATAAAAATAAATATTGCTTTGGTTATTATTAGTTAGTTGTAAATTTCAATCTAAGTCGTTTGCTTTAAACAGTTATTATTATTACACCAAAATATTATCGTATGTGTTGCTTAATAATCTAAGATGTGTTGTAGCGAACTACGTATTATTTAAAATGGTGCAACACCGTTCTGCGTCTGGCATAGGGCGGATGGCGCGCCCCTATTTAGCGCTACTGGGTAAAAAATAACTCATAAAACAAATGCAATGACTAAATTATAGGTGCATTTTAGTGTTAGGCAATAGAGAATCACTTTATTTTTGTTTATTATACTTATTAATTTTTATTACTTTTTATTTTAATTCTTCACAAACAGATACTTCGCGAACATACCATATGTTCGCGAAGTATCATTACAAGGCAAAACGTACAACGAGGTTTTAGTTTTCTGTCCTATTTCCATGAGTATACTGTATAACGGGACGAACTTATGGGGGTTGGGGGGTTGTGTCTTGATGGGCCGGGTAGATGTGGTTGATAACTTTCTCCCTTATCACCACCAAGCATCAATTATATTTTCATTTTTACATAAGTCAGCATGTTAGCTGTAATAGCTGTTTTTATTTGTGACCAAACCAAGAAATCAGAAAGTAATGACTGACTCCTCGGCCCTATTTCGTCGTTCAGCATTAGCTTTTGCAATCACATAATCATTAATGCCTCCATATTCATATTTTTTTTTTTTTTTTTTTTTTTATTTATTCATATCTTTTCGAGTAACAAAACTCATAGTGTTAGTAACAATTTGACTTATAACTATGTATATGCCTGCTATATGTGTATATGCCTAGCATTTTGTGAGATACGGAATACGAGATACGGAATAAATGCCACCATTACTCATCCACAACGTCGAGTCCAAAGGGGAATGTTCAAGCAACTAACTTAGTATCGCTACAAAGATCTTTGACTGCACGGATGGCGTAGTGGTTTAAGCGGTCGCCACGCGCACCGCTTCCTACTACGCCGAGTGTTATGGGTTCAAACCCCACATGGGACGACACTTTGTGTGATCCACAAATTGTTGTTCTGAACCTGGGTGTTCTTTGTGTCCGTTTCATGTATGTTTGTAAAGTCACCCGCGACACAGGATATATTCCTAATGCAGGGAAAAAAACTTTGTGTCAAGAAAAAAAAAAACTGTTATATGATGTGTTGTGTGTGTGTGATTAATGTATTCATTTAGGAAAACTAAACATATATTTCATAAATATCCGCGTTTCTTGGGCACACAGTCTTGGTTACGATATAAATAAGCAACAACAATGGTGTCGTGTCATGTCCAATTATCTAGTTCCCTCATCAAATCATTTTAGTATGATTTAAACATTACCTGAATAACGTAGTAAGTACCTGAAACAAGGCGGGCACCCTACAGAGGCTATTGCCTAATCTGTGGGTCCGCGGGAGGAAGTTCGCCGACTCTACTGTGCGGTGATACGATCCATGGCCCTCTACGGAGCGCAGATATGTCCAAAGCGCTTATCGGGCTTCTCCCGCTGCCGAGCTAAGCTCAATCAAGCGCAGCGGGTAGATGCCATTGGGATCGTACGGGAATACCGCACCATATCGTCGGAGGCGGCGACAGTTCTGGATCGTTTCCCGCCTTTTGATATCCTGGCGGATATGGACGCGAGGGTCTAGGGCAAGACTCGCGCAAGTGAGAGCGGGGACGACCAGGACGAGCTCGAAATGCGGTGGAACGGTCACCGACAGGCACTGGCGCAGTGGCGCGCGCGATTGGAACAGCCGCGGAATGCGCGTCAACGTGCTGTCGGTGCCGTTTTGCCTAACCTCGAAGCTTGGGTAGGTACGGAGGGAGGTGACACCTACCGACTGACGCAGGTGGTCACTGGGCATGGCTGCTTCGGTGAGTACACTGGTCGGCCCACTGGGACTCCGGCCAGCACACGCTGGAAGACTGCCCCGCGTGGGCGTCTGAACGCGAAGTCCTGGTCGATGAAATCGGACAAGACTTGCCCCGCCAGCAATCATTACTGCCATGCTGGCGGGTGAGGAGGGCTGGGGCGCAGTGGTCTCTTTCTTTTAAGCTGTAATGCTCCAGAAAGAGACCGACATCGGGAGAGGTCCGATCCCGAGCGAAGTAGACGTCGGCGGCGGAATGAGCAGCCGACGAGGAGCCGGAGATCCGGAGAGATTTTCCACTCCGTCCAAAAAAAGAAAGTACCTGAAACAAACCTGAATGCTTTGCTCAGTATCTTTTTTTGGTAAATTTTCTATTCTATTCTTCTATATTTATATATAAAAAAACTAAATTTATATAACCTGAATCTAGATTTATTGTGAATGCTGATTTAATCAGGACCAGACAAATACACAAATTAAATATTAATGTCCACGCTTATGTAGAATCACTGAAATTGGGAACCGAATCACCTGTAAAATATACGTGTGTACTTCCTACACTATTGTAACAAAAGGAAACTGAAAAAAAACGACCTTGGTCTATTATTGCTCTTGACTTTCCTCATCGAAGTACGGATTATTTATTATCAGATTAAATCTTATAATCACTCAGGTATAATATGGGTATATAAATAAAATACTATATAGTATATAGTAATTACACAGCACACGCCAGGTATCTGCTAGTCTAATATATAATATGTAATAAAGTCTAAAGTACAAATATTAGAGTAAAATGTTTGTCTACTTCCAGATCTGGTGCTGTATTTGCATGGGGTAAAAACTCACGAGGCCAACTGGGACTACCAGAAAGGGACAATAAGTGTTATCCGTCTCATTTGAAAACATTAAGAAATGTTAAGGTACAGTTCGCATGATCTGTAAGTTGACCACTTGTTATTAGGAATGCATCGCCTCTTGCATGTGTGTTTCAAGAAAATTAGCTCTTCTCTTTTTCTTTGATTGACTTTTATAGTGCCTGTGACATATGTACGTGTACCTCACGCACGTTACTCACGTGCATGAAGTGTTTCGGAGACCCTTTATCAGGGGTTAAAGCGTCGAGTTACACAGCAGCTACTTATCAATACCAATCACTTTAAAAAGCCTACTCATACTTAGATAGTCACATAATACTTAAAAGATTACAACTTGAATTAATTTATTGGCACGCGATCAAGATTGTTTTCCATCATTTTCGCTTTTTATTTAAATGTTTTCTTAAAGTCTGACATCTGTTGTTATAGTTTGTAATCCGTGTGGTAAGGGATTAATAATACGGAGTGTTAACACCCCTATTCATCCCGTGGTTGCCAAAAGAGCCGACTACACAGCACAACAACCAACCTAAAGAGTAGGAAAACTTGACGCAAACCCTATACTAACCCGTCTGGCAATTGTGGTATAGTAAGCCAAAACCCCCCTTTCCAACGAGAGGTCTATCTACAGCAGTGGACTATTAAAGGCTGCTGATGATGATGTTTTTTTTTTGTTCTGAGTGTTTTACTAACACCAACAAAAATAGACATATTCACACACATACATACAAATATTTACACTTAAACTTTGAGCAGGAATGAAATATGCGATCCCTGGTTTGCCAGGACCGCCTGGCAATCGATTACATTACTGCGCCAGTACATGAGGCCGTATTTTACAACTGTAATATAATTTCTAGGTGTGCCATATATCGTGTGGTGAGGACTTTACCGTATTTCTTACGTTAGACGGCGGCGTGTTTACTTGCGGGACTGGTGAATATGGACAGACTGGCCATGGTACCACAAAAGATGAACTGGTTCCTAGAAAGGTAGGCAAATACTTAAAGGAAACATGATATGACAACAAGATTTTTAAAGTTTTTTTTTTATTGCAACCACCTTCAATTCTTAGCATTATAAAAATAAACTGGTACGAACCGGAACCAGCTGGAACAAGGTATGTTTTATGGTATAGGGGGCCAAACGAACAGACTGGTCACTTGATTCTAAGTGACTATCGCCGCCCATGGATACCTGCTACTTAAGAGTGCATTTCCACTGGACCCGGGGCTGGGCGGAGTAGAGAGGAGCGGACTAAGAATTGGCCAATCACAGTACTCAAAATCTCCACTTCACATCAATGAAAACAGTGTGAGTAGAGTGGAGCGGATCTAAGCGGACTTTCTAATAAAATACAAGAACACCCAACAAGGGGTCGCCCCGAGCTGGATAACACGGAGTCGAGCAGGCTGTGGTGCCGAGCGGAGGGTAGCTGGACTATGTTTTCTTTTTGTATGCAAATAATATGTAGCAATCAATTGTACTGCATCTGCTTCCGAATTTTCATCTTCTAGTAGAGAAAGATTTAAAAGCGCTCTACACGACGTATGATCTCTTCAAGAGATTGAATTTGACTGATCGGGACACTGCTCAATGCAGCTTTGGTCTGCGCCGCTCGATCCCACTCCGGCCTGCTCCGCTTCAATGCAACCACACCGCTTTTTACTGCTCCTCTCTGCTCTACACGCTAAGAGTCTATTTCTATTTCGATAGGTAATTTTTACATAATAACGCGATTATCGCCACATTTTAGTTTTCTTTCCATGACTTTGCAACAGTTCAATTGTCCAGGCCAATCGTTAACAGATGTATGGAATTTAAAACTAGAAATAAATATATTTGTTTGACAATAGATAATGGAGTTAATGGGCAGTACCGTCACTCAAATCGCTTGCGGTCGTCGACATTTGTTATGTCGGGTTGGGGAACGTATCCTCGCGTGTGGGTACGGCGCTCGCGGCCAACTCGGGTGTCCGCATATGGCGTTCTCGCTTGTACCCACGCCCGTGCCGTTCACACCGAATGATGAGTCGCCGGTGAGTCAGGCCTATATACTAAATATATTACATCATATTATGAACAACAAGTCGACTGAATGCTTACCCTTAACACTCATACTTAAAAGCTACATACAATTTGGCTTTTTTATTATCATACTAAACTGTGTTGCATATAGCCACCTCCATGTATTCTTTAGAAATCAATTACATGTCAAGTGACGTCAAGAAATAACCTTTATTGAAAAATATTAATCAGAGAGTTTATTCTTATTAGTAACTTATTACGATTACATTAAATAGTAAACGAAAACTCCAAGTATGAGAAAAAACCTAAAGTACCTTGTAATGGTTGATTACTGTTTACAATTATTAGAGCATAAGGAATAGTTCTGTAAAAAGGACGTACATCAAATATTAGTAGGAAGTAATATTTCTGAAGTAATAAAATGAAAAGTCATAAAAATATTTATGTACCTAAGTTATTTTAAAAAGATCTCCCCGCTATATAATTATAAATACATATCTACGTACATTATTACACAGAGTAATTAATATTGCATTCACTATGGTCAATAACATGTGATTTTCTTTTCGATTCAGACTGAGAAAGAAGGTCACAATAAGGTAAATATGACAAAACTTGATATGTGGTTACGTCATACATAGACAGTTGCATTTTACCTTTTTGGTTCTATATTTTGCTTTGTAGACGTTCGTAATGTATTCTTATTGTATTATACTTATATAAATTTCTCAATTACTGTCCCCCTTGTAAAAGTGCTCTCAAAACACACTGTATTCTGTTAATATAATTTACATAGTTCTGTGGAGTGTGATTGTTCTATTTTATATTTTAAATTGTAAAGCGAATAAAAAAAAATAAAGATATTTAAAGAAGAAAAGAAAAAGAAATTGCTTCTTAGTTATTTTCAGTTGTTTTTTATTCTCAATTGTTAAGCTATTTAATAATATAAAATAGTAGTGTGTTTTGAGCCTTATTTATTTTGGCTCCAACATTTATGTTAAGTTTATTTGTTTTACTTTTTAGCATCATACGTAATTAATTTGAACAATTCTTCTTTAGCCGAAGAAGAAACCGAAGGTGGAGAGTTCAACGACGTTCGGTCGCTCTAGTGTCGTGGGCGGTTCCAAAATAAATGTTGAGTCATCTGTATTTTTGAAAATATATTAATATAAGTTATATACATGTATGATAACAACAAATATGTATATAATATTACGAAACAAAAATGAATTTGGTTTGCCATGTATATAATTTTGTTCACTTATAATTTAAAGTTAATATTGTAGTCTTTGTGGGTTTCATAGATGTGTTAGTAGTTGTCTGTATAGAAATCTGATTGTTATTACATGTAAAAGATATGAAGATCGGTATTAGTTTACCCCATAGTAATACTAGAAACCCTTCATTTGTTTTAGTTTACACAGCAAGCGTTAAAAATAAATGTAAATAAGTACCTATATAACAAATCTTGGTCCACTGTTGACTGATCAACATCTTTTAAACCGGTTCTGATATCTAATGTGAATGCATCTCAACTAGTAGTATTTGTGACAGGAATGGTCGAAAAGGTAACGAACATAATATACGTATATATAAAATGTGATTATGATTCGAAATTTAAAAAACCGAAACATTCACCCCTTATTTTGATGCCAAGATTGATACCGTACGAACATTACTAAAATCAATCATGTTATGATAAGGATTTAAATATTTCCAGTTTAAGAAGTTAGTACAGTTAGTTAGTACAGGTACTTGATTTTTAAATTTATGTTAGATTCTTATGTTGCTAACAATTACCCGGGAGTAAAAAGAAGAAGAAACACCTTGCGGTCATAAATTGTTTTAAAAGTAATTTATGACACTAAATACGACTGTCATGTGTTATCATCTTGTGTCGATTACCTGTAATTATCTCTAGAATTCTTTTACTAAATTAGCTTACAAACAAAACTTGTGTATCTTATGTCTAAATTTAGAAACAATCACTTTCCAACGCTCGCTGTGTAGACTATGTATATTTAAAGTTAAATGTGTCCCTTAATTCTGTATAATATTTTTCTTTTACCTGCAGTTCTCACCAGATGTTTTCAAAGGCCCTATTAAGGTGTTCGCGGGTGGTGATCACAGTTTTTTAGTAACTTCAGAAAAGTCCAGCCCAAGTGATTTTCGTCAGCCAGATAGTAGTAAACAAATTGTAACGTTATCGATACCGAAGTTGGGCACTTGTGAAGTCTTTAAGGACGACGATGTGGTAAACCAGGTCAGTATTTACTTTACATGCATTTCTGAAGTAGTGCCGCCATAAAAGTACTTAAATTAGCTAATTTTTTAAACTATGTTTATATTTAATAAAAATTATGGTAACTTTCAACATCTGGTACACGGCTGTCTGATATCCAACTAGGCTGAGCATGAACTGCTGATAAACATGCTTATATTTCTAAACAAATACATATTATTATACTCAAGCTACATCCAAACATTTGTGTCTGGATGTAGTTTGAGAAGAAATGATCGTACTTATCACAGATTATTTAAATTAACCACGACTAGCCAATCCATTATATCCAAGCCTGGTATTTCACAAGTTACTAACGTATGCATAGCTCCTAAGAAATTTTGTATAAAAGACATTAGTATAACTACTGTCTGTCTGTGGGCAAGGGAAATAAACAAAGAATTAAAAAAAAAACCATTAAGATCTCACCACCGGTCATTTTCAAGATAAATTGGACTTTTAAATAGCAATAGATGATTGTGGGAGACTGGTGCTTAAACTAGGCGTTAGCCTGTATTTTAGGTCGTCAGGCCTTTATTTCAGGTTTTCTTTCAATTTTTTTTACAACATAGATCAGATTGTGCTAATTGAAATTCATTTTATCGGGTGATCTCTGGGAATGAAATAGATAACAATTTCAACTTACCTTAGCTTAACAATTTACGATATATCAGTGCTGATCGTGATTCAAATGTCAGTTTATAGTTCAGTCTTATGGTGGAGACCAGGAGAAATAGGAAATGCGTTATAACGACAGTGGGTAGAACTCACATCATGGAGTCGCTGGTAGTTATATACCTATCCATCTGACTCCCATATAACTTTATATATAGCCACGACCAAACTACTTTTAAAACCTTTATAGCCTTTACTTTATTCTTTACAGGATTTATTAGCTTACCTTGAGACGGTGTTTGGCTCTTTAGCGTGTGTGAACGGTTCATTCCTAACACCCAATAATGCGCATTATGGCTGCAGCACTAAAGTGCCTGGTGTAGATCTAAAGAAAGCTGAGCAGGCTTTTACCATAATAAGTAGATTTGAAAACTCCACTATTAAGGAACTTGTAAGTTTTTTTACTTCACCCATGTGAACGCACCCTTAATAACAAGTAGTGTTAAGAATGGGTTCACAACGATAATGATACTTTTCAATTTACATACAATTACTTATATACAATTACTCTTATTTTTAGATTTTCACTAACCTAACAGAGAACATAATAAAGAAGATGAAAAGCTCTCCCCCGGACGCTGAAGTACTAAGAATGTTTCTCGTCTTGCCCTTGTATCACGAAATGCGAAACCCAAGGCGTCATGTTGAATTACAGGTACACCTTACTCTTTAAACAATTAAACAAAAGAAACAGCAGAAGGACGAATAATTGTTTTTTTAAACATTTGATATACTTAGTGTGTTGCTTAGTTTATCAAAAGTTATTACTGGAAAGTTTACTATGCAGAATAAGGTTATCGGTTTTCTTAGAATTCTTACCTGAATTTTTACATTTACTCATATGCTCCTTGCTCTTTAATTACGTGGGGTAGACTTAATGTTATCAATTCAAAACAATACGGTAGTTGATTGTATCATAAATTATTAACAGTGTCCGCTTCATTAAAACAAATATCACAAAACATCCCGGAAAATATAGTTATTCTAGCTTTTTATAACTATTACGAATTTAAATAAAATAAACATTTAAATATGTTCTTCAATTGAGTAGTCCAAAATAGTGACGTCCTCAGTTGCTATTTAGTACGTAATTTGCAGCTTTGTTTGCAGCTTAAACATATCTTCATAGTAACCAGCTCTCGCTCTCACTCACACAAACTAAATATGTTTTGTTTGAAGGGACCCTTCGCAGAAGCCTACAACAACTTGGTGGGGCAAGCGCAGCGATTAGTAAATGTATGGTATGAAACAGAATCAGTAGAATACTTCGAAATGCTCGTTGATATATTTAAAAGCGTTGTTGTATATGAACTAAGACAACCTGCGGTGATCGCGAATAAGGTATGTTAGAACGATCAATTAAGGAATTTTATACTTGACTTCTCTGGCTCCACTTAAATTTACATACAACTTTTTTTAAATTTATTTGTTCCATCTGTTTTTGTGTGTTTTCCTTGCCTTCCCTCAAGTTTACTGTACCTACACCCCTTCCATCTCACAGTAATTTTTATAATGTTTTTTGTTTCTTTTAGAGGATTTACTTCAGTCATAGTATCATACAGATTCTTAATACTCTATCGACATTAAACAAAATCAATTTTGTCAATCCAAAGAAACCGAAAATACCAGCTGAATGTTTCTACATAGAAGATTTGTGTAACCATGTTGACATCGCAACAGATTACATCAACTGGCTTTCAGATCATGCTGTAAGTATAAAACTTGGATAAAAAATCATATTTCAATTAAGATCATTTCCCTTCGGAAATGGGTAAAATAGTATACGTGTTATGTCGTAGCCGAAGCACGCCCTTAAAGCATTCTGCAAGTGTGTGGTGTACGCATATGAAGAATCGGGATACTCTGAGAACTGTGAGAATGTGGTGTAAATGGTAATTTCATACATTTTTAAATGTTTTTTAATCTTTCACTATCTCTGTTATGCTATTAATTGTGACGTGTAGAAATAATCACATTCCTGTATTAAACATATTAAATAAAAATAAAATTCATTTCAGTCCAACCACCCACACATGTGCAATTACGCGTTCCTATTCGACGTTCAATGCAAATCTTTACTGCTAAGGATAGATCAACAGTTACAAATGCAGATTGCAATCAGTCGAGCTGCTACTCAAATGTTCACTAGACTATTCACGGATCCTAATTATGAGTACCAGAGAGACCAATTCCTGAACTTGACTGTGTCTAGAGAACATATCGTGAGAGATACAGTGACGCAAATCAGTAATCACGAGACTTCTCAACTCAAGAAACCACTTCGAGTAAGTCAATAGATATTATTTACCTTGAACAAATGAGTAGCGTAGTGTAAGTGACCGCAGCCTCTGACTCTGGATATCTGTCCCGCCCACCTCCTCCCAAAGTTTTTGAGCCTCGAAGATTCTCATTCACTTGGTTGAAAACAACGAAAAAATTACTTAAAAACAGTTTTCTGTGAGGATGTGGTTTCTGTGAAACATAGCTCTTTAGTAGTACTGTTAAGATCCTATCTCACTGCTCACGATTTCTACATACAAAAATTGTAACTGTTTATTTAAAATTTAAAATTTGGGGCTGGTGCGATAAGGTTCTTAATTGTAAAAATAAATATCTGTGAAGTACAACTATAGCTAAATAGAAGTTGTTCATATCATTTTTTAACATTTCATGTCATATGTCTGTTTTAGGTAGAATTTATCGGCGAGGAAGCCGAGGATGCAGGAGGTGTTAAGAAGGAATTCTTTATGTTATTATTGAAAGAAATATTCGATCCCGTGTATGGCATGTTCCAACAGTCTGAAGATTCCAATATGATCTGGTTCTCCAATAACCCCTTTGAAGATGAAATCATGTATTATTTGATTGGTAAGTAAATAGTATGAAAGACTTCAGCAGCCTTCAACAAGTAAAGCTTGCTAAAGCTACTAATATTGTTTTAGAGTTAATATTCAATTTTACCTTGAAATAAACAATACGATTATTATTATTTTATATAATTGCGATTTATTAAGTAATTTAGAATGTGATAGTGATATATAATATATTAGATACAACCGTATATGACACATAAAACCGTTTAAAAAGAAGGAAGGCGTCAAATAGTGTACCAGAATCAAAGGCAATCACCCATAAATCGGACAGTGCGAGTGTGACACTCGCAAAGTCCCATTTACGGTCCCCCATATGGGGCAAGCCTATTGACGTCAAGCAGGAATCAGACTTTAGGAATTAGAAGGAGGTATTAGATGGGAGTGTATTCTTGTGGAAGTTATAGAAGTCTATTGCTAAGGTCCTATACTTTTATGTGACTAAATATAAATTACCTTTAATTGTTCTCGCAGGAGCCATTTACGGCTTAGCTATATACAATTCGATCATCATCTACGTTCCTTTTCCGTTGGTGTTATATAAGAAACTATTAGAAGAGGCTATTATGTTAGACGATCTGTCGGATATCTATCCAACGGTTGCAAATAGCTTAAAAAGTTTACTTGACTATCCGGACGAAGATGTTGAAGATGTAAGTAATTTTATACCTTAAATCAAGAAGCAGTCATCCACAGAAGTAGCCCGACCACACTCCTCGTGTTATATTGAAAGTCTCAGTGAAAGTTCTTAATATTTGTTCCTGGCTTCCATGGTATTAAAGCATGAGATATGTTTCATGTATGCTTTATAAATATTCATAGATGAAAGGCAAACTCAGATAAAATAGCTTATATCGCTTTCAACTTATAACTGCAACTTCCACTATCTATCTCTTGGCTCCAGATCCAGCTCAAGATGCCAGATTTTAGTTTTGTCATCTGAACTAAAAATGAAAAGTTTAATTTTTATAAGATAGTTAGAGTAGCTCAAAATTATTTTTCAAAATCGATTTACACTTGATGCTATTTTATCGAAAGCTTGTTAAAAATATCTTAATATTCCTTTCATTTTCACGTTTATAATTCAGTTTTCTTCTGTTTAGTCTCTCTTCTATAAAACCTGTCTCATTATGTGGCGGCAAACTATCTTTCTCAGGTATTCAGTTTATGTTTTGCGGTAAATACAGAAGTCTTCGGCGAAATCCAAGTGCATCCTTTGAAGGAAAACGGCGAGAACATTTCCGTAACTAATGAAAATAAACAGGAATATGTTGAATTATACGTTAATTTCCTCATTAACAAGTCTGTTGAGAATCAGTTCAAAGCTTTCAATCAAGGGTTCCAGAAGGTAAGAATTTTCTACATTATATGTGCTTTTACAACTTGTCAATACCAGTGTGGCCGGAATGAAATATAGGCCCGGAAATTATTGGGGTACTGCCGATTGAAATCAGTTGCTTAGACGTTTGATAGAACAACCGTTTTGTGACGTCATATATGCATTCATTTTGTAAAAACAGTTACTTGAAGTGCTTACTTTAGTAATAGAGTAGGAAGGTAAAAACAAACATGATAATATTGAAAAATTTACTGTTAAACGAAAACTACCATATTATCGTAACAGCATAAGTTATCAGAAAACCTTGATACAAACTAGTAATAAGCTAACTATCAAATGCAAAACTATCGGTTTGGTCTGCTTTATGGCCTAAACAAATAGTTTAAAAACAGCTGCAAGCAAATAGGTAAATCTGTTAATTTTGTAATTCATAAATAATGCAGAAGGCAAACAAAAAACAAAATGATCATTCACACTACGTGCTCTCAGTACCTTCAAAAGTTTTTGAATCTAACTCATATGGTGAGTTTTTAGTTAGTCCACATATAAATTTATAAAAGGAAGTTAATTGTTATTGAGAAGTATAAGCAAAGTTGGAGTACTGAGCACTATGTGTTATACTGTTGTTAGTTTAGTATATAGTTACATTTTTAGTTTTGTCTTTGGTTTACTATATATGTATAATAATTATATTGTTTCAATGTATTTGCAGGTGTGTGGTGGTAGGATTATTAAATTGTTTAGGTCACACGAACTCATGTCAGTTGTAATGGGCAATGAGGATTATGATTGGGAGGTGCTGGAAAGCAATTGTGAATACAAAAATGGTTACACTGCTACCGATCCACAGATCAGGTAAATAACTAAACTTACAAAGTGTTACAGAGATTTGTTGTGATAGAGTAAATTCTTTAATTTCAATAAATGACCTCTAAAATTATTTAGTACATAACAACACATTATTTAGTAAAAAATAGTGACCTGCTAATAAATTGAACGTTATTCTTATAAAAAGGGTTAAACAAATCAAACATGATATAAAAAAATACAGTTCTTTACAAAAAGTCAACACAACAATAGATACCATGTCTCAGCATATTGCTATAATTGACCAAAGATTTGTAGACTAGTTCTAATTTTATTTAATGGGGTATAATGGCAAAGATTTAAAAATATCGGATGTCGTAAAACCAATGTTAAACTTTAATTAAAAAATATACAATTGCAGATGGTTTTGGGAGACATTTCATGAGCTGTCCTTGGAAGATAAGAAAAAATTCCTGCTGTTCTTGACTGGTACAGATCGAGTACCCATACGAGGAATGAGAGACATCAAAGTAAGTACCTATTTATTTGTGTATAGCGAGAAAACACAAAAAATACATGACTGATGTGACAATTGTTATACTAGTGGCAAATAATCTACTGTCTTTGAAAATGCGTGGGATATTAACATACAAGGCTATAGGCATCTCAAAAGCACTAGCCACTTAAGATTTTCTTGATTGCAAAAATTATTGTTCAACGAATGTTTATAACTTATTAAGAACTAGCTTTCCGTCTGCTTAGCTAGCTCGCTGCTTTGCTGGCGCTAATGTCGACATTGTCAATTAAATTTTTCTGCTAATTAATAATTAATTAAAATATTTTTCCGATATGCTATTCACGACAATTATTTATCCTAGCATTCATTTATCCAAACTTTCGCATTAATAACAGTAGCACGATGAAACTTACATTTTAGAGCACGTCGAACATATGAAATTGTAATATTTAAATTGTGCGTTCTGTTACAGATCAGAATTCAAGCGGTCGCCGACGACCGGTACTTCCCGGTGGCACACACATGTTTCAACCTCTTAGATCTTCCTCGTTACAAAACTAAGGAGCGGCTCAAGTATCACCTACTGCAAGCAATTCAACAAACACAGGGTTTCTCTCTTGTCTGACATTTGATTTAAGCGTACTGAAAATTCACCGAAAGTTGAGACTATGGTCACTTACCAAAATTAAACGGGTGGGTGTTCCGTGTGCCTAGGGAACTGCACTACAAGAATAGAGCTTCGAAAACTAGAATTAAAGCAATCATTTAATGGAAAGAAATCGTCCAGTATGTAAGCATTTATTTCTTAAGCAGCTTGAATTTGAATTGTTATATTGAAAACTTTTTGTGATTTTTTTTAAATATTTTTGACTAATTTGATTTTTATTAATGTATTGTCTCTTCGCCAATGATAACTAATGTGGGAAAGTATATGTAGCAATAATTAGAAGTACATACTAAGTGCGAACTTTGTTTTTAGCATAATGAGTGCTGGGATAATTGAAATGATTATTTTTTCAAAACATAGAGCTCAACTGCGCGAAGATAGTATTGTACTAACTTAATTTACTTTTAAAGAAAACAGGCGTTATTACTAAGATCATGTAAGGATCAAGAAACTATTTGTTCCAGTCTTGCGAATACTTATCTTCATGTAATCCTTATACATATAATAAACTTTCTTCTAGCCAAATACTAAAGGATATTGCGAGCATTTTTCATAGATGTTAATAGTCTTATACATTGTTTAAAATTAAATTTTATAATTTAATACAAAATAAATATTCACAGTGCGTTTACATATTTGATAGTTCCAGTTGTTTGTCTATGTTGAGGGGAATCCCCAGGCCGATTAAACAATGAGTTGTTATTAAGGGAAGGGTAGGCAAATATGACAACTAGTACCTAAACTTTGTGATATCATGTTCATAAGCACACTACTACAGTTGACTCAAACGCATCGTTTAAAATATACAAATATTCCAAGTATGATGCAAGTCTTCATCCGACGGAACATTAATTTAGATATGATAGAATTCACCTTAAATTGCCCAGATCCATTTAAAATTAATTCCTGGCCATAAATATTATGGTTTTTCTCTTATAGATTAATAAAATTACCACATATTCGTTTCTTACTACTAATCAGAACTTGTAAACCTAATTTATTTGTTTATGTAAGTTCACACATAGCTTCACAAAGTAGAATATTTTTAATGACTTCTAAAAAGTGAGCATGCAATGCACACTTTCATAGCCACCACAAAACTTATCAGTTCGCAAATCTCGTAAAAAACATAAAAACGAGTGGATTCGTTAATTAGTAATTGACTAAATATTTAAGTGATTTATAGTTCTACGTAATTAAAAATATATCACTTTATATTTTACGATTGACAATTGCTTTGCACGCTTACGCCCACCGAGTAAAACAAAAACCAGACCTTAAAACAGCACTTGCTACCTACTATTCATATGCCTGCGCGTGGCTCACATACGGAGTAATCCTATGGGGCAATAGTACAGATGCACCTTCACTTCGTACTTTAAAACTAATTAGAATCCTAGTAAACAGAAGACACAGATAGTTGCGACTTCACTTTATCGAGCTTCAAATCTTAATCTTGCCTTGCAAAATCTCAAAATCTATATCCTTCTGTATATCCTATCCTTCCTCGATAACAGAACTATATAACACTAAATCAATTTTCAAATTCGAACCTGAAGTTACTAAAATTACCCCGAACATACAACCTCACAAAGATTACCTTTTTATAATATTAGTATATCTCACAGTATTCTGTCTCATTCACTTGCTTACTTTTCATATTATGAGATTTTTTTAAACTTTTCGAGTTTTGAAATTTTTCTTTTATACAAACCTTGTACTGACAATAAAGAACACAAAAAAAAGAATTATCCAATTTGGTGCTGTCGTTCGGCAGTTATGCGCGTACATACATTTCCTCGACTCAGTTGTATTTATATAGTTACAGACTTTACTTCGTTAATATAAAACTTTAGTTTAGCATAATACTTAACAATAAATTGTCGAACAACAAGCATCTTGTGTTCATTTATATAACACGAGTTACTTTCGCTGAAATTAAGACTAAATTGTTTAGGTAGTATTTTCTAATCTCTGCTCTAAAAGCACTGTGTTAGCAGAACGGAAAAAGGGGTTATACTTACTAATCTTCTCATAGTTTTTGGATAGTTATATATAAGTAAGTGCTTCATTAGACCACTTTTTCTGAAAAGTCTGGTTTGATGGTCATAAAACGTTAGTTATGTGGTTTTCAATATTAAATACTATTGTTAATAATACTCTTACATCTCAGAGACTGAGAGCGTGTATGTAACAATTTTATAAAACTATTTTCAGGTTTTACTATTTTTTATTCATGCATAGATTTGTAACATTATAATAATTGGCAATAACCTAGATTTTGATTATTAATTTTGTATAAATTCCATATATATTTTAGTATTAAACTTTGACAATCTACATACTTTGCATTTTATATTCATATAAGAGTAAGAAATTGAGCCTAAATGGAGCATCTGGAAAATTGTTTATACACATAGCCAAAATTAATAAACAATCCAGCTTTCAGACTTTACAATCACTAGAAAGCTTTGTATATAAAAAACTTATATCTTTAGATATCAGTTTTGATTGGTTAATAATTTTCGCATGTCTAAACTCGGTAGATGTAGCCAGAAACATGTATATAAAATGGCTACTTCTGTGATATTAAGTGGTCGTATTACTGTATTCGACGAAAATACAAGGGCTTATTATAAATTGTTACTGTTTTGTCATAATATTGTACATGTTGTACATAATATTGTACTGTAAGTATGTAGCTTGGCTAGATCGCTGTTCTTGTTTTGAAGCCTTTATGAAAGTGCACCTTAGCCTAGGTACTCGGCGTGGTTTGTACATGTATGTAATGTATGATAATATAATATTTTCATACATAATCGCTTTTTCATTTCTACATGTAACCCTAAATCTATATCTAATAGTTGGCTAATCTTAAATGTTTTTTTTTTAATTAAAACTAATTGTGCACTTTCGGGTCGAATCACATCGAGTTAGATCAGTGCTATAGATTCCCAGCCATAAAAACGAAATACATAATTTCATTTATACTACGTCCTAACAAATTACTGTCTGTATATTACCTTCATAAGTGATAATATGAGTATATACAGGGTGTAAGGGACATCGTAACGAATACTGAAATATTGTATTCAGAACATCATTCTGAGTCTAAAATCATTAGAATTTTCTGTAAAGTAAAAACTACATGTGTATTCCGTGCTAACAGTCAACGCACACTAGCACAAGTTGGCCGCCGGAGGGGCGCTTCGGCTGTTTGATTAATTACATTGCAGTTTTTGACCGTATGCGGTATTTATTTAATTGTTTTCAGTGAAATGTTCTGTTTACTCATTGCCATATCATTTTTAAACAAAAAAGTTAAAAAAACTAATTTTCCGGCAGAAAACTCCAATGATTTTCGACTCAGAATGATGGTCTGAATACACTATTTCAGTATTCGTTACGATGCCCCTTACACATGTATATTGTTTTGATATGTTCTGTAAATACCTACTCCTAAAGGTAACTCATGAATAGTTAATCATATTAAGACCTACTGCTGTGCTTAGCTTCACTATTATACAGGTAGTATGTTTTTTCTTACAAATCAGAGCAGCGCTGCTTTGTGCCTGAGGTATTTGAATTTCTTCATCATTTAGTAGCAAGTATATACTAGCGACTGCACGGATGGCGTAGTGGTTTAAGCGGTCGCCACGCCGCTTCCTATTACGCCGAGTGTTGTGGGTTCAAACCCCACATGGAATAACACTTTGTGTGATCCACAAATTGTTGTTCTGAGTCTGGGTGTACTTTGTGTCCGTTTCATGTATGTTTGTAAAGTCCCCCGCGACACAGGATTTAATCCTAGTGCGGGAGTTGTCTTTTTAAATTAAAAAAAAAAAAAAAAAATTGTAGTGTAAAGAGTAAGTTGGGAACATGGGGTTCCCACACGGGGGGGGGTCGTCTACTCGTCTGTAGATGACCCGAGGTATGTCGGGGCACCAGGGACTTCCTTTCTAGGGTATACCTGGTTCCCCGGCTATTAGTACCCGGCGACGGCGTGCGGTTTTAGTCGGTTCGAGTCCGACATGCCACTGACAGGTGGTATCCGAGGGGATGTCCGCACGGAAAAAAAAAAAAGTGTAAAGAGTAAGTAATTAGAAATGAGTGAATTGGGAGATATGGCACATTTTAACTGGCTCCTCAGTTAAGATGCTTCGGTAAATAGATTTGACTCTATATATATATCTATGATATACTTATAGGAGGACCTACTTGTGCGGAAATGATATATTTTGTATAAATTTATACTAAATGTACTTATAATCCTGACATTCAAAAAAGTACTGTATCTACGAAGTTATTAGCTATTCTTTAATTTCCTAACAAATTTTTATATAGGGTATCCATGAATTGACTTCCTTTCTAGGGTATACCTGGTTCCCCGGCTATTAGTACTCAAGACGGCGTGCGGTTTTAGTCGGTTCGAGTCCGACATGCCACCGATAGGTGGTATCCGAGGGGATTTCCGCACGGAAAAAAAAGGGTATCCATGAATAACATATAAAAGGTATTTTATCTAATTAACTGTAAATTATAATTTTTACCTACCTACCCTCAATTATATTTTTTTTAGAAAACTGACATTAGTGTTGAAATTCACTTGTTTGCACATATTAGTTTGCTGACGTTTCGGACACAAATGCTGTCAGATACTTGTCCGAATCAACACTTTTTAATTTTAATATTTTTCACTAACAATTTGACACCACCCAAAAAAGCTATTTTTTACAGTCAGATAAAAAACAAAGTTTGCTATCTTTACATAGTATAAAATGAAGTCGCTTTTTTTCGATGAAGTCGATCTTTCAAAAGAAAGTGATTCATAAGGCGGGTTTATATGCATTTATTAGAAGTGGAAATCCGAGAATTTCAAAGATTTGTAATGTGAATTGGTAAAAAACATGTTTTTGTGCGCTTACATTGCAAACGCTGGCTAAATCTTACAAGATAGATCAAAATAATGTATTTTTGAATTGTATATCTTAAAAAGATCAACAAAAAAGGACAAGATGTTATATTAAAATTTATAGCAGCATACAGTTTCATTTGAACAAAATCTTTGCACAAGTTTCGAGTAAGCGAGGTACCAGAATCTATAATGATTTCTATATTTATTAGGTAGATCATACATATTAAAAGGTGTTATAGAATTTATCCCTGTTTAATTAGCGACGCTGGCATGGGGCAATATAAATAAACGGAGAATGAGATTTTTTGCTATGACGACTATGATTTTTACTGTAAAATTCGTCAAAGCACCGAACAACCAATATTAATTCATTGTATCACTTATGTCTAACCTGATTAATTGTATTTCGATATTGTCGATTTGTTGAAAATTAAATTTCATAAACTTGTCCTCCTGATTTTATTTGACATGGTCACCCTTAATAGCGAATTCATAAGGAATATCGAAAATTAATTTGTTTTTCAAGTACCGAATATAAACAAGGTTTATCTATACATACTTATTTATTTAGTAGACATTTTATACTAAATGTTAGCGTCGCTGGTTTTTGTTTCTGTTGTGATCTCAGGTAGATACAGTCGATTATTTTTGATGTAGAACGTCAGGATTGAGGAGCCAAATAAAATGCGTTTATTTACTAAATCCACTCAGTTTTACTACTTCCTCCTGATGCTACAAATTCAAACACACTTGCCACGAAATGTTTTTGAAGTGGAATAAAAATTTTGACCTATTACTTTCATGGCAGTCCCGCTCTTAAATATAGATTGAGGAGCGTCATTAAAAATATTGTATATTCTTGAATATCAACTTACAGTAATGGATTCTGATTTTTGGTAGGCATAAACAATTACTACTAATTGATACAATTTAAAAAAAATCGTTAAATACTTTCCGTGTTCTAGGTGGCTCCTCAATTTAAATGTTTAGATTGAGGAGCTACTTTTACATTGATGTAACTTTTATATATGTATCTTACTACACATTTCAGAATTCGCCCTACAAAGTTATGTGCACACCGTTTCCGTTCCAAATCCGTTTAAAATCTGCACAACAGCCTAGCACTAAACATTGTTTAGTATTTACTTACTAACTTGTAGAATTTACAACGAGAAAGTGTAAGTAACCGTTCATTTACAATTGATAACGTCCTAATCCTTTAGTGACTAAGTATACTCTTATTTCTCACATGTACTTTATTGTATGAACATCAGTAAATCTGGACATCAGGTTTTTTTAAGTAAAATCGTTTCTCAAAAGTTTTTACTTCGGCAAGGTTTTTACTACAGATATTTGCATATGTAAATAAAAGTCCAGTGTTTTTTTAAAATTTATTTAATTTAAAATATAATTAAATAATGAAATACCAAATAGATAGCACCATTTAACATTTTATATACAAAATATTCGTATAATCTCTGCATGACTAGGTACGATAAGCATAGCCAATATTTGTTAATGTAACATTTTAGAGGAAGCATTCAACTCATAAAATAGATCCCATTTCATAAACATTTTATTTGAATATGCCTCTTTATTAAACAATTATAAATCACAATGAAATTGTCAATCGCTCTGTCAAGATAATATTAGTAAAATAATAAACAGTTAATGTTTATGACTTTGGCATTTGAGCAATATTTACAGTTTCATTTAAAAGCAATGTGGATTAAGTTCGCAATGTATAAAGCCGCACATTACATCGAAAACAATGAGTATCATAGTGAATCTTTTTTTTATATATGAATTTGAACATGACTGTTATTTTTATATTTTTATTTTTATAAATTTACTTACATTCTAATTAATGGTTAAAAATAAATTATATTTATAAGTACTGATTCCAATTCAATCCGTACATGCCTCAAGACTTTAATACCTAAAGTCTATACAAGTACCCGCTGCGAAGTTTTTGTAACTTCACTTCCTTTTAATAATTGACTGATGTTTATTTCAATGAGATGATGTTTTTGTTGACATTTCAAACGTTTTGCCCCCAATTAATTTCGGCACATACAGCGACACTCTTACATTAGTAACGTCAACAAAATATCGAATGTTTTATGACATGATTGAAATGTTGAAAAGATGACGTCACAAAACGTAAACCCATTTTGCAGTGATAGGCTATTAGTAACAAACACTATGATGAAATTTAGTATGAGGATCGGCCTGAGTTATCGTCGTAGTGTTGTGTGCCGGGGGGCGCGCGGTATCCTCGGTTGTTGTGGTTCAAAGCGTTTTGCGCGAAGAAGGAAGTGTAGTCCTTGGCTACCTGTAATTAGAGTGCAAAGTCGCATGTATAATGTCCTGAGATACATTTGATACGACTAGAAGATGACCTATTTTCAGATAGATCTTAAGGGAAAAAAGTAGAGATTAGTTTTTACAGATGAGTCAAGAAAAGTTCTGCGTGCAAATGATTTGATGACATCACTTTTTATTTTTTTATAGCAGGAAGTACAGTTAACCAACCTCAATAGCTTTCATTTTCACACAGTGATGATATAAAACTTATATAAATCTATTTTCAACACCAATCCACAAAAGCTGTGGAGTTTAATTGAAGCCTAGCAAAAAAATGAAAATTAAATCATGTTTAACACTGTTCAAAAGTTTCATTCTCAAAAGTTGTCATTGGACATTTTATTGACGAAATTGAGGGAAGTTATGGTGGTAGAAGTTCAGGTGACATGTTTCTTATTTTTAAATAGTGATATATTATACTACAAACACCTACTCTGAGTCATGCATCGTCAACTCTATTGACATCAGCTTTACTAATTTGTGTACAATGCTAAGCTAGGTGAGACAGAACAGGTGTGAAAATATGTCATCGTGTGCGCATTTATTTAGTTTTATTATGATAATATGAAGTTATGATTGTGTGGGTATACAACTCTGATTTTACAATGTAAGCTAAAACAATGAGAATGACATCATTTGTTGACCATAACTTTATGTTCTAGGATTGTGGGCGGGACAACTGCTGTACCTTTTCAAGTTACGGAGTGCACCAAATGCTATTACTTATTATTCGAAAATTTTGAATGATGAATTTCTATGTGAGTATCCAATAAACTCTAATTAAACTTCACTTCTTTTGTGAGGATTAGAGTTGTATACCGACATTACAATAAATGTTGCAAAGCCTACTGCAAGCTAGATCTCGCTTGCGACTAATATCTAGGTTCCTAAGTCAACCACGTTCCGAAATCTGTTAATGGAAAGTTTGTCCAAACAAATAGTGAGACTATGACCCAAACTGCCACTTACAAGTGCGGTATTAAAGTCCGGCTACGCACGGACTGAGGAGAACGATGCTTACGCCTCATGCATGCCAATTAATTCGGCAAGCGTATATTGGCGAAGCTAAAACAGACAATATTTTGTTCAATATTTTATTTCGTAATACTTCGATATACTCGTAAGTATCTCGTCTTTTAAGCTCGCTGATTTTTATTAAAAATAATATTAAATTTTATTGAAAACTTTCAACACTTAAATTTTATAGGTACCTTTTTTTTTTTTTTTTTTTTTCTTTTTTTTTTTTTTTTTTTTCTCCTTGATCTTGTCTCCGAGCATGTATTTTATCAAAAACTTTTATATTTTATTTTGAAATTAATCTATCAGTTTTTGGTACTTGATCACTTATTTTATTAAAAATTGATTGGATTATTTACAATATTTATATATATATTTATAATATTATATAATAAAAGCAATTTAAATCCTTGTCCTTTTGAAGACATGCTTCAAAACTAAAACAAATGTTCAATACTCGAATAAATATTTTTTCAAAATAGGAGAACAGTTACTGACTTTATTCGGGGGTTGTGCGATTCATAGCCCTTTATGAGGGAGGCCCTGAAGGCCAGCAACATCGCACTACTGTGACGACCGCAGCGAGTACTGGCCATCAGGGTCATAAGCACCCCCTTATGACCCTAATGGCCATAATTGGGGAGGGAGGGGGGGGGGGGGGGTGATGGCCGGATCGTGGACACGGCGCTCCACACGCTCGTAGAATGCCCGGCGTGGGTGAAGCAAAGGAACATCCAGGTTCCCACACAGGAGGGGTCATTTGTAAGCCGTAGATGGCCCGAGGTACGTCGGGGTACCAGGGCTTTCCTTTCTAATGCATACCTGGTTCCCCGGCTACTTTTACCTGGAGACTGCGTGCGGTTTTTGGTCGGTTCGAGTCCGACATAATCACCCATTGTTGGTTGGTATCCGAGTGGAGTTCCGCACAGAAAAAAAATAGTTACTCGTAAAAACGTTTTATATTGACATTTATTTTGGTTGTAGGGATTTCAGTGTTTATAGTTAGGAATTTTACCAATAGATGTTTATGTAAAACTAATTACACCACCGTGCGGCTATAGAATTGTTGACTTATATTCAAATGCTTTTTACATTTTGTTCTCGTACTTTTTATTCTAGTTCTAATGATATATAAGATATTTACAATAAAAAGCAAAATACATTTTTGAACAAAAATATTTAAAATAAAGATATGGTGTGACAAATATTTGCAGAAACAATTTTTTTCAAAATATGAACCGAATGGTCAGTATAACGAAAAAAAAACTGTGCTTATGTACAACATGCTCAGTATTATTTTTAGCTTTATTTAATGCATTGAGAGATTGGCCACACTATTATTTACCTGTTCCTCTATACCTTACAGATGGGTTTCTAAATTAAAAGAATCATAATTTATAGGTACGAATGTATAGGTTACCTTCCGTGGTCTGCAAGCCGGGCCCCTTGCTAGCTGCCTTCTGGCTTCATTTTCAGCGGCAACGGCTTCCTTAACCGACTGCGGTGGCCACTTCTGGTCTCCACGCATGTTGACGCCTCCTTCGAAATCACACAAATCTGGATTTCAATGTTATGAAAAACTGCGTCTTTGAAATCAATAATCCCTTTATTTATAATAATTGCATTCACACTTTACCGTAGCTGGTTTTGGAAAGATTAAACATTTCCTGATGGTTCGAACGTCTGTAGATAATACGGTAAGTTTTGTACTAAATCTGTACAAAAGCATTCTTGGCTTGTATAGGGGTCTCATGTCCTCCCCATAAAAGTGTCGTAACAAATATTTTCATGGATCGTAAAAGCAACAGTAACATTTTGTAATGGCTAAAAAATAGTAGTATGAAATAGTTTTTGGCATTGACATTCTTTTCTATGTTAATATTCAACAGTTTTCAATCATAGTCAAAAAATACTATTTGCGAGCAAGACTTATGTTGGTTAACACATTACGTAAGCTACACTCAATCTAATTTGTTAGTTCTGTCTTATTAAATGACGTATGAGGTGGTTTGTTTAATTAGTATCCAAGTTTTTACAAGCTGTATCCTATGTACAATGTAAGAAAAGCCGTAGGTAATTGTTATAACGCGAGATCTTATATCCATAAAGAATATGAACCAAATGGGAGTTATAAAGTATTTAAGTGTTGCAGTTGAGTCTCTAAAGCGACAACGAGGTATAAAAAAGCAATTTTGTACACAATATACGCTGAACTCAAGATATTATGTTTGCGAAGGAGCCTTCAAAGTGTTGCTTTATGCTCTTTGATATCGCCAAGACTTATATAAAATATTGACTGTGTCTCACTCTAAAATGTAATTTTTATTCTACTGTTTTCACCGTTATACTGCGTTATACTGCTGTTATTACTACGTGGGTACATTAATGACTATCAGGGAAATAAACTACCATCTATAGGTATACGTCTTTGCAAATCTATACTAATATTATAAAGCTGAAGAGTTTGTTTGTTTGTTTGTTTGTTTGTTTGTTTGAACGCGCTAATCTCAGGAACTACTGGTCCGATTTGAAAAATTCTTTCAGTGTTAGATAGCCCATTTATCGAGGAAGGCTATAGGCTATATATCATCACGCTAAGACCAATAGGAGCGGAGCACCAATGAAGAATGTTTCAAAAACGGAGAAAATTTATTACTATTGAGAGACGCAGACGAAGTTGCGCGGGTCAGCTATTCATTATAACTTTGGCCAATAAATTTCTCCTTTCAACTATAGGCAGTTAGAAATGTAACATTTTAAATAGTTTTATTTTATGTAGGCATATTTTTTTATTATTTGCGTAAATCGTTACAAGAAACTATATGCGTCCAATATATAAGTATATCCGTCCCTGGTTGTCTGTACCTATCATGGTTTGAAAAAAATCTATACTAATATTATAAAGCTGAAGAGTTTGTTTGTTTGAACGCGCTTATCTCAGGAACTACTGGTCCGATTTGAAAAATTCTTTCAGTGTTAGATAGCCCATTTATCGAGGAAGGCTATAGGCTATATATCATCACGCTAAGACCAATAGGAGCGGAGCACCAATGAAGAAAGTTTTGAAAACGGAGAAAATTTATTACTATTGAGAGCTAGTATTAAATATCAGTTAAAGTTATGAATAATATTTTGGAAGATTTTATTTTTGTACATTTCACGGGATAGTCGTAAATTCAGCAAGTTGTTTTCGCCTATGTTTTGTTGTATTTGATACTTTTGAAATATTGTTGTTAGATTATGCACCTAAACATTTGGAATCATCAATACTGAAAAGTTACAGGCGTCGGAAGAAAACGATTAGATATCTGATTAGGTAATATGTTAAAATTAATTTAAAGACCTAGAACCTGTTTTGATTTGGAGACGAAAGAAAATTTAAAACGACACACACCTTTGTACGATGCTGTGGCGGGTTGACTAGCAAAAATGGGGGGCGGTTTCTGGTGAACAGGCTGCTGCTGACGAAGAGTAATAGTTGTTGGTGGTGGTTCGTACTGCTGTTGGGCCTGGTACGCCGGCTCAGAGAGAGATGGCGAGTACTGCGGCTGGGTCGAGTACTGCTGCGGCGACAATTGCGACGGATAGTTGGGCTGCGATCCTTGTGTCTGTATAGCACAGTTTTATTAATATCTTCAAAATTAAGATGACGGCAGTATTGTTTAGATACATTTGATACATCACATACAAGTATGTTATAGAAAAAAAGGTGACGTTGCCGCTTTACAATTCTGTTATATGTGTTCGCCGCCAAAGATCGGCTATCATCATCATTTAAATTATTGGGCACCATTTAAATTTTTTAGAAATGTCTGATAGTTTTTCGAACTAATTGGCAAAAACTATTAACAAATTTTAAAAGACTTAAATTTACAGATAAATAAGTACTTAATGTAATTTTACTTATACAAAATAGGAAATCGTCATTTTAGTCTCTATATTTCAGTTATTTAAATACGTAATGCAAGAGGCATTACGTATTTAACTCCAGTGCTAAATTGGTTTTAGATAAAACAAACATGCTGTTTATTTTTATGTACAGTAAAATGTGTCTTAGACTACTGCGATTCTTTTTAAAATTACCTAATACCTTAATATTTTCCGGTGCTTATTATTTTAATGTAAAGTGGCAACGTACGAAGTAAGTTCACCATGTATAAACTTAGGTTCAGTACTAGACAATAGACAGAGGCGTAGCGTTCGTTATACATCAGCTATACGCGTAAATTCATACTCAGCACACATTATTATTAGTAATTTGAAAACCGTGCAACCAGTTAAAGTACTATGGCTAGAACTACTCGGCTACTTTGACGTTCCTTCTGTGATGATACCTGAGGGGAAAGAGGAGCTGGTACAGGGGCCCAGCGACTTTGATGCGGGCGGTAAGGCTGCGCAATTCCTGGCGACGGCGGCCCTTGGCGGTAGGGGGAAACAGTTGCGGAGATACCAGGACCAACAGGAATTAGCTTACTCAGACCAGTGGCTTCTTGCCTTCTGCCCTCACAGTACGAAGGTTCCGACTGAGGGGCTTGATACTGTTGTTGGGGGGAGAGAGGAGATTGGTATTGTTGTTGTTGGTACTGAGGCTCCTGTTGGTATTGAGGTTGGTTATGGTATTGAGGTTGGTTATGGTAGTGAGGTTGGGGGGGAGCTTGGTACTGTTGTTGGGGGGGAGACTGGTATTGTTGCTGCGGTGCAGGGGATTGCGCCGCGTTGTTGTAGAACGCAGGACTCTGTTGCTGTAGGGATTTATAACGGCATATAATACATATAATAAAAGTAATAGCTACGTATCGCATGCAATTATTGGTCTGTCACCACCCAAAGCTTTGCTATGTGCAGCTGTGATGTGATTTGCATCTAAATTAACCCCTTATATACATAAGTATCAGTTTTCTTTAAATGAAAAATAAGTTGTATCGATTACCTGTGGAGTTTGATGATATCCGTTCGTTTCTGGTACCGGTGGCCAAACTACTTTCTTCTGACCTGCAACAATGCAATTTAGCCGTGAAATATTGTTGTATAAATATAGAATTGGCAGAGATTATGTATCATACGATGTATGCTATTCTTATGATCACTATTTCAGAGAAAGGTAGATATTTTCAAGTTTAATTCAATGTAAGCGCTAGGGTGTCGAGTGTCATTTGGCATTTTTCGAGTAGGTAGGTAGGATTTAAGATAAACCATTACTTACGATTAGGAAAGAATGTTATCTAATTACAACCATTTATTAAATCCTAAGTTCTTTTATAAGTAAAATAGGAAGCAAAATGTCGTTTTAGTTTTTAAAGATTTTTCGGACCATTGTATTTAAGTACTTAGTTCTTGATTCATGCCTACCTATGCTATTTTATTTAATTCCTGTTTTAATTTGTAGCTATATAATAATATGATGTATTAAATGACTTTTTATATAATTAAATAATACATGGGTACAATCTACCTAAATTAATTATTAAGAAGCAAGTTCGTTCAAGAAACTGAGTTTTCAAAGCTTATTACTAAATTAATCTGTGTTTACATTATCATACACAGACACTCCGACAGTATTAGATTTTTTGAAATATCTACAAAAGAATTTTGATTGTCATTCAACTAAAAATAAATGTTCTTTAGAATAGGTGCAATCAGGGCATACGATCTCCATTATCGCATGCTGTGGATCTGAAAACCACGAATATTCGGTGTTCAACACTTCGCGGTACTTATTATAAACGACACATCTCCATTCAAATTAGCACGACCCACCAACTGTTGGATCAACGCCAGACTATAGAAAAAAAGATTTTTCAAGACTTGACTTTGTAATATACAAATTTATAGTTATTATTCAATACGGATGTCACAAAAATTGTTATAAATTTTATGAAGCCTCTTTATGTGTATGTTAACCTTGAAGTTCGTGCATGACACATTTATTGACCTGATATGTTTCAGGTGACATAATATTCAATATTAATATTATCCAATTTATTTCTAATATTTATTTGTAATATTTACGTCAGCTGTGAGATATTTATACACGAAAGCTGCTTGGGCTATAATAAAATTATTGTATACATGTAACGAAGATGTAGATAAGTAAAATTGATCTATTAGTTTAGTATTTTAGATTATTTGTAAAGTAAGGCGGGCAAGAATATTAATATTCGAATTACTTGCATAAGATCTTCTAAAATGAGTCAGTCCCAGAAATAAAACCAGTAAATATAGTAGGTAAGTACATATATTTTGTTGCAATAGAGATTGTTAGAGAAGTACAAGGAACTCTTTTTTGAGGCGATTACGAATGCGTTTTTCGAAGTTGTGTGTACTGTTTGAAGCTTTTCTTTTCATTGCATTTTAGAAGTTGATTAAAACCTGATTAGTGTTATCATTAGTGGCATTTAGGGTATAAGATTTTTCATAAGTACCTACTTGTTGGACAAGTCCATAATCGCATCAAAGTATAGTTGTATTTCTGTTAACAATAGTTATTGTTCTGAAGTGTATACTGTTTGAAAGTTGGCACCACGACGTGTTGTTGGCGATTAAGTTTAAATTTACTTTGCATTAGGAAGCAGACTGCTCAACAAGAACTAAACCGAGCTAAGTTTAAGTTTTGCACCTAAAATAACATGCTCGTAAATAATAAATTTTGCTGTAATACACAGAGTGTCTAAAATATATATTTTTTTAGATTGCTGACGATAACGAATAGGTACTAATTTAGGCATATTAACAAAAAAAAAAAACATTTACCTATCTAATTTTGAAAGACACGAGTTGTTAAAGTATCCAAATTTGAATTTAAAACAAGTGCGATACAATTATTAACAAGATTTAGACCTACATATCATAAGCCGTATTTACAAAATGATTCATTGTCCACGATGGCAAGCTACTAGAATAAAAAATCTTTTAGAACCTTGTGTACAATGCTCAGGTGTTCATGTGTCCTTATGATGTTGTTGCATTTAATATAATTAATAAGCACATAAACTTGATAACTCAAAATTAAACCAACCTATATTTTTTTAAATCAAATCACTCAATGAGTTAAAATGCCACACACATAGATAATTAAAGAATGAACTCATTAATTAGACACTCACGATTTAAGTGTTTAACCAGATTGAACGTGATATGCGACTACCGCCGGCCCGACTGTGAGCACTGCGTTTGACTTCTTGGCTCTGAAGCAGGTGTAGAGTACCACAAATATCTACGGTATATGTATTATATTTTGAGACTAAACATTTTTAGGACGCTCATTCGCTACCTCACTCCCTCTTGCTGATACCGAAAAATGAACACGTCGGACACACCTACTTACGACCTAGACTTCAAACATTGACCACCTCCATTCGCCTAATAATAATTTATTGCTAGTGGAATGGATGCATAAAACCAATTTCCATTAGTAAGTTCTACCTACAATGAGCTCGTAAATTGCAACGAAATACCAAGTCGGGAAATTTATTTTACCTGTAGCAAAACTTGCATGACGAAGCGAATAATCTAAGGATAAAAAATATTTAGTATCATAAATATTTGGGTTGAAATATGCACATCTCGTCGGTCTATCATTAGATTACTCTTATTAAACAGTAATTTATGGTGCATAAGAAAGAGTCGTAAGATTAATCATTATGTTAGTATTTAGAAAAAAAACTATACTGTAGTATGACATCATAATAACGAAATGAAGACGATGCACTATTCTATCCACGGGTACCGGCTATTTCATAATGGATTCAGTTTCACCTATATAGGATTCCTCTTTTTAACATTGGAGAAAAATTTAAATTCAGGTAATTATAACGAAGGTCAAATAATGTAGTAATTTGATCCATCAGGAATTATGAAGCATGGTCGCAATTGCCTCATCCATTGGGCCATGAGGCGCACATAAATTACAAACGGTCCACATAACAGATCGTGGCCACAGACAAGTTATTAATTTGTGCGAGCAACATAACGTTGAAGGCAATTTACCAGTATTGTGATGATGATCAGTATGATGATTTAAAAAATAACGCGAGATAAAACGGTTCCAACTTAATACTTATTTTATATTTTATGTTCCAGCTAATTAACAAATAACGAAAGAAGGTTAAATACATTTGTGTTAAGAGATCCAGACATTTATTCATTGACCTAATTCTACTAACTACTTTTATAATATAAACCTAAATATTTTTTAATGCGACATTCTTTATTAAAATAATGTGGGGAAAATGACATTTGTCCTTTTTTTACGGATTTGCTACGGATCTATAGGAGTTACTGTCCAATTAGGATCTATTTTCTTATACACTAACTGACCAACATATATTTTAAACATTTCCTTACCTATTAGGAGATAAGAGTCTTTGAACTTTTGTATCATTATTTCAATGTCAAATGCAACTGTCGCAAACATTTTGCTTATGAATCAGCGGATCACATTTAAAAATATTTTTAGCATAATGCACACCTGGAGAAAACGTATGAACTAAACATATTTATGTCGTTTGCTACTTTTCAGGACGTCGTAATAATAGAGACTGATTCATGAGCCCACAAAGCTATACACCGGTGAAAATAGTTTCAAGTGACGTCAAACAAAACCATCTATCTAAAATCAAGGCCGGGATTTTCTAAATAAACATGAAAAAACAACCGCATTCTACACAGATTTAATGTTCTGGAGCTGCCAGGTCTTAAAGTATCCAAGGTGCAATTAAATTAACTACCTTTATATTTTACCTATACCCAGAATACTGAAGATAATCTTTTGCATTTTAGTTACATTGTATTTATATGGCCAAGAACACAGCTAGAAAGTAATTTTTTAGAAACGTATTTTCAAAAATATATTTTTGGAGTTTTAAAAAGTTTAGATCCGAGAAGCGGATGTAAATTTCCCCAAAAGTCAATGTCCGTTTGCTTGAAATTTATTATTGGTTAATTTTATCGGTATCTGGAAATAAACACTTGCACGTAGGTACACACTTTTAGTAACATTTAAATAAAAAATGGAACTATTTACACAAAAAAATAAAAGGCACATTACCCACAAACTTTGTTTGAACCATCTTGCGCGTTCCTCCTTCGACGAGGACTGTATACTACTAAGTATTACGACGTATAAAAAGTACAGGCACATTTCAAATACTTTCTGATTCTTGCCAAATACCTTCCACTAATGAATGTAGTTGTCATCAGACAGTGTTTTTTGTCAATAAAATGACAAACGAAAACAGATGATAGGACGTTCCACTCTGGGTACATAAATATAGCTCATTCATCATAGGATTTATGACTCATTTTGTTTGTCAAGTTTCATGTAACGTCTAGTTACTGATAGGGCTTTCCTATGAAATTCTGTAGACTATGAGATTAGTATGTACTTAAAGCTGTTAGTTGTTTGTTTGTTGTTATTGGCACTTTGTTTCAAACAGTTTTCGGGCCTACGCAAATAACTGTAGCATTAAAATTGATTATAGATATACAGTGACACCTGCATGCAGGTCTAACTGCGGTAATATGTATATTAATACAATACAACAAGGCTGGAGCGCAGTGGACTGCTGTGATTTGAGCCGGCGAAAAGGGAGTGACCATGTATTTACAACAATAAATTAAAATATCTAATGATGAACTATGCAAGAAAAGAAAAGATCAGTCACTGTTCCTGTTTGTGCAGTTGATATTGTAAGTAAGCACTTAGTAACTGCGAATGGTAGGAAAGATTCCTGTTGTCCATTTCATATCAGATGATTAAAACACAATCTTTTGTAGTACATTTGAACAGTCGATAGGGTTTTATGATAGATAAATTTGTTGTAATTTGATATTATATCATTGTTTGTAAAATGATCAAAAGTAACGATAACTTAGTTGATACTAACAATTGTTAATAGACAAGTAATGTTTAAACCGAATGTGAGCTTTATAATCACCTGGTAATAAGATTAGATTTAACATGAGCGTTAGTTAACTGATTGTTTTTCTTTTTGAGTACTTGGTAAGAATGTGGCTGTTTCAAACTTTCGAATGTTTCAGCATAGTCCAGTTATAATAAAATGCTTACAAGTATGGCATATACACATGACGTGGCACAGTAAAAGCTTCTACTCTACCAGGCTTAGCTGGTACCTTTAGTAGCCTTCATAAACTCTGAATATATATTTCCCGTGGTGTTCAGCTGGCCATCCCAGCTCCTTGCTGAACGCATTCTCGACTTTTGAGGTGGCCAGCAGCGTTCAAACCGGTGGTCCATGTAAACCATGTTGTCCATTATCGCCTTCACTTGTGTTTCGTCTAACTCTGATAAAGCAGGGTTAATTTATTAGTAAGCGGTACACAGTCACTGTTCGTGGAACTGTGTGGGAATTACAGTGGTAATTTATAGTGGAAAAGCATCAGATGTTGTACAGAAGATAATAAATCTAATAAAGTAAGATGCAAGGAAGTTTTAAATAAATTCAAGAGGTAATGTAGTACATACAATTGTTCATCTCTTGCATTCATTTTATCTAAACAGTTTATTTAACAAACTTGAAAATCGGATTTAAAGAGGTTTGTTCTCTAGGAAGTTATTATAAAATTAATTGCTTCAAAAATAACACGCGGTTAATATGTATTCCTAGTATGTATTTACCTTTAAATTGCCTGATGTCTCGACCAGGTTGTCCTGGCCGTGGTCACAAGCGGAGTCCAACTATTAATCGCGTTAATTCTCAAAGTAATTAATTATGTAATATGGAACGCGAAAATTTAAGAAATACTTAAAACATATAATTTAGAATGTTAGTTTAACACAGTTAAAAAATAACGGAAAAGGGTCTTAAATTAGTATAATCAAACGACGCGAAAGCTTATCAATTGGCAGTTTTTTATTGTCCTAAAAGATTGTAGTTGCCATCATTTCTGATAGATTTCACTATGAAATACCATAAAACCCATACACATATTTAAAAAAATAAGATTATGTATACTGTATACTGATTATTAGTCTATGTATTTATGTATTATAAGGCTTAGGTTACCTATTGAGTGACAACTTTACGTCATTGAATGCATTTACTATGTACACATGAAACAAAATACATACTTTACTAATATGGTCGATAAACTATTTATAAATGCACCTACGTACTATATACAAAGTAGGTTCTAGTGTAAAACTTATAATACAACTAAAATAACGTTTTTCGTTTTTATTGTTCATAAACACATTCGATTTTAAATCGAGATATCAAGTTCTTACGGTTCATGTATGATTTTTTATGCATTTAATTGTCATTTCTTAATTCATTATCATAGACTCATTTATATCAGTTTTTTTAATTCATTTGTTTTTTTTAACGGGACGAGCTAATATGACATTTTTAAAGATGTATAAATTTATAAAATCTACTTACTGGGGTATCCTCTGCGGTTGCGTTCTTCTTCTTCAAGCATGCGCAGAACAGCCGAGTTGGCGAGATTACCCGGTTTGTCCGTGCTAGGGTTAGTGAAATCAATCCTGAAACAAACAAACAAAATTATTTGGACATAGTTTAAAGATGTTCGTATATTACAATAGTGTAAATAATAAACGTAGCTTTAAATATCCCAATTATAGTATAATCTAGAAACATTAAAAAATCATCTTCACTTTACAAATCTAAGTACATACGTTTATTTGTTTAGTATTTTATGTAAATACACTTTTCAGCTAGGCATAACTAACAATAAATTTAATCTTAGTCTCATTTCGAAACATAGTAAACTGTATGTATGCATATGGTAATTTTACGTTTATGTAATATATATGTAGGTAACTAGGTAGGTGTTTTGTATTAGTACATAAGCTATTGTAAAACATGTAAGAGGTTACCGAGTAAACTCTTACAAAACAATTAGTTTGTTAATTTTATCAAGATTCATAATTACATATACGTCAAAAGCAATGGTTGCCGTTTTTACTCGAAATGATTTTTTTTTGTTGTATAACTAATCACATCATCAAACCATTTAAGTAGTAAAAAATCTTAAAAGAAACATTTATAGAGTACTTTCGCCGCATTTTCTTTGTTTCTTTAATAGACAACTCCCGCACTAGGAATATATGTCTCGGGGGACTTTACTACGCCGTCCGTGCAGTACATGTAAAGTCGAAATGTTTTTTTTTCTTTTTGATCCAATAATATGGGGAAAGGCAAAGTCCATTTTTCGATTCATTGACTCGTTATTAATTATATTATACATGTATGGATTTAACGAATTAAAAAAAAAAGTATCACGACAACCGACTTAGCTCTGTTAGTTTTAAAGTAATGGTCGTTCAACTTCCAAAATGTACCTACTTAGATTAATCATGTACAAAATACAAAATCCTTGGAAGAAATTACTTAGTTAAAGTTGTTACTTGTTTAAAACGGATAGCAATAAATTACGGGAACCATTGCATTGGGCTCAAGGCGAAATTGACATTTTTTTTGTATCGCCATCTATAATCCATTACCTAGTATTCCTATTTAGGTATTCTACCGAGTTACAGTCATTAAAATTTCGAGTATTGTTAATCTGATGATCGGATACTAATGTTAGTCTTGTCTTGTGTACTAGATTATGGCAGCCCTGTTTGGTCCTCCCAATATGTTACATACGTGGATAAAGTAGATACTAAAAAATATTTTCTTAAGACACATAATATCATGACAAGGAGACGATATTTATCATATTTGTTACTAGATAAGAGTTTTTTATTCGCTGTCATGAGAGGTGAAATGGTGAAAGTATCGACCTTCTCTCTAATATTAGTTTAAATGCACCCAAAGCTCTTACTAGACATGCCCGCCTGTTCAGTGATCCTCTACACCGCACTAATGATTAAATGGTAAGAATTCTGTTCTCACTCGCTTATTTAGCTCTTATAATGATAATTTTGACGACATTGATATCTTCAAATTTTTAAAAAGAAATGATAAATTAAAAAAAGTACTTATTACACACTTTTCGATCTCGCCGATGGGAGGGAGATCGAAAATTGTGCAACAATGACGGCGGCGGGAGTCCATAGAACCCTCTCGCCGTTTTTGTTAATTTGAAATCTTTAGTTTAACGTAAATACACACTATCATTTAAGTAAGTAAAAATAAATTAATATTTTTATGATTATGTACCTACAGATACGAATTAGTTATGATATAGTTTATTTAAAACGAGTAAATACTCTCTTAGATAATCTTGAAGTTATCAATTACTTGTAGTTTAAACTTAAACTGTGGCAATGGCTTTCGTAGTGACGATGACGGTGTCTTCTGTTCGAGAGGGCTGAGGCCTTGTCTTTGTATTTTTTTTGTAGACGGCGTCGAAAATCCCTTCGGATCTCCGGCTCCTTGGGGACGCAGGAGCCAGGAGTATTTGGTGTTTCCGCTAAAAACAAACCCGACGGCCAACCACAGGCGTCCAACTCTGGGGAGGATCTGGACAGATCTCAAGTCTTTCCTGAATTGACACCAAGCCTAACCAGGCTATATCTCGGGGGAAACTATAAACTTTCCACCGTCAATTGCTAGGTTATTCATTTTATAAATAGGAATAGGCTTTAGGAGGTTATACTGTGCCTTGTAATGTTCAATAACAAACATAAAAGAAATACACCAAGCTGGAGGTCGAAATATTATTTTATTTTTTTGGTTGTAAATGTTTGTGTCCTTTCATAATACTCTTGAAGATCATTTCTTTTACCAAAATTATTGACTGATTCAATATTTTTCTTTTCTTCAGAAAATAATTCCTTTTGAATGTTGAGGCTTTGACTGTACTGGAAAGATACTAAGATCCGTTTACTAAAAAGTAGGTAAGTTGGTATTTGAAGGTGCAAAACATTGAAACTTTTAGAAACTGAAAGAAGCTTATTTCAAAAGACAGTAAAAGTGTAGGAGAAAAGAAAAAAGTTTTTCTAATTAATTGAAACAATAAATAAAAATTCCACAGACACAAGATTACCAACATTTATGGAATTATCTCTCACTTGGCTTCCAAAAGTTATTACTATTTAACTTGATATCATATATAATATAATATATATGATTACAGGTAAATAATATATAAATATATAATTTATGGATGCGATATCGTTTTTTTTAATAATACTTAATATTTAACATTCCTGTATATCGACTGTTCAATTTATATCATCATACCGTTCCATATTGGAATTATCGTTGGAATTTCAGTTATTGTGGATGCGACTAGTAATAAGCCCCAAATTGCATTTAACTAAGATTTTTCTTCTTAAACCAGTTTTTGAACAAAATAAATGTTAAAATTTTAACAATACCTACTAACTCTTATTGAAGGACCTTCTTTTGGTACATAATTCTTTAAATACTCTATTAATAATATTTATGAATTAAAAGCGTATTATTTTATAAAGAAAGTTTTTTGACAAAACTAAATGGGATTAATTTAGTTTAGTTGAAAATCGATGTCGTTTACAACTTTCACTCACTTTCAAACTAAATCGATTATTGTTCTCATTCGGAAAGTCATGTAAAAACATTAACTTTGTTCTATAAACACAGGAAACTACGTGGGAACCTCGCACAAGAACACGTGACAAAGCATTAATGCGATTGTGTTAATAAGTTTAATCGATCAATCAGTTTAAATGTAGGTAAGCACATTTGGTAGAGCAAGGTAAGTAAAGTATTAGTTTAGAAATTCAAATTTTAACTATTTTAACAATAGATACAGTAAACTATTTAACACAATTTCCAAGAGACCCAGTGTCTTAAGTGAAAATGCGTTACGCTACGGTTTCTCACTTACGATTACAATGGGGAAAATAAAATGTAAATGTAATCTAACACATCACATGTATAGATTTCAACATACATATAATAGCATAGAAAAAACATATTTCTTTCGCAATTTGCCAATGTCACTAGGGACTTGTCTAAATTTACTATCGCTAAAAACTTTATTCGGACAAATTTGTTCAGCTGTGCTCAAGGGATGCAGTTACCAAGTAATAGGTTTTCCTTTTATATTTGTATTATTTATTAGCTGTACCACCACATTGTGGTTGCATTGATGAGAAATGGGTTGACGGTTTGTTTATCGTGTCAAAATTAAAGTTCACCGATTGATGGTGCAGAACTGTTTAAGTTTTTCAAGCGTACACAAAACAACTTAATACTTTACACATTTGTATATATAAAGACTAGTTAGTACCCGCGTGGAATTTGATATGAAAATGTTTGTTTTATTTTTTCAATTGATAATTATAATCTATACAAATAAATAAAATTGAAGTGTTTGTTTGTAATATTAAAATAATAGGTTTTTTTCATGCTCACACGCTTATTATGTACCTATGATGAAATGTATGTCTGTCTGATTGTTCCGGGTAATATTCAAAACGGCTGAACCGATTTAGATAATATTTTTTTTATTACTAGGTAGCTGTCTATATAAGGAGTAACTTAGGCTATTTTTTAATTCTGATTCGATTCCCGGACCAGAAAAAAATGTATAGGATTTTTATGAGTTAATAAAATAGCCTAAGTTACTCTTCTCCTTATATAGACAGCTAACTGGTAGGCAAAATCGGTCCAGCCGTCTTGAAGATTACCCGGAACAAACAGAGAGACAGACAAAAAAAAATTAAACTGGTTTTTAGTTTATTTATATCTTTATTGTATACAGTTAACACATAAATTAGTTACAAATATATAGACGTAACAATCGGCGGTCTTATCGCTCACGGTGATCTCTTACAGAGAACCTTAATACGGATGATATAGACAAGACACAAATATATATAGAAATTATATATATATGTATATAATATATATATACAGTCCAAAATAAATACTATGTATAATAAAACATACAACAAAACATACAAACAAGTATTTATAGTGTCAAATAAAAATACTTCACTAGCTTTTTGAAAACGGGCAAGGTTTTAGCTTGTCGGATTGTCAAAGGCAAGTTGTTCCAAAGTCTTACTGCTTGCACAGTAATAGATTTGTCTGCAAACTGGGTGGAATGCTGTGGCATTTTTAGTTGTGGGTACGCCTCACGCCGAGTGTTGTGGGTTCAAACCCCACATGGGACGACACTTTGTGTGATCCACAAATTGTTGTTCCAAGTCTGGGTGTTATTTGTGTCCGTTTCATGTATGTTTGTAAAGTCCCCCGCGACACAGGATATTTTCCTAATGCGGGAGTTGTCTTTTAAAAAAAAAAAAAAAAATATGTATATACATATTCTCCGTTGACCTCGTGTCCGTGCAATGTGTGTTGTGTAAGAACTGAAAACATTATTTGAAATAAGAGGGTGTGTGGGGATGAAACAGAACACTGTATAAAAGAGAAGGAATATGAAGATTCCGGCGGAAGCGTATTGGTAGCGACTTGAGTTTAGAATTATACTCTGAGATATGATCATATTTGCGTAATCTGAATCCAAATATGAATCTAATACACAGGTTTTGGAGTCGCTCAACAGTGTTTTGGTGGAGTTTAC